CCATGAGTCGGCTTTCATTTGAGGGGGCGTTGAGGAAGTGGTTAAGTACCATACATGAGCCTCTCCCAACAACTCGAGTTATTGGGATCAATTGGTTCTTGACACAATATATTTACGGGACAGGCGAGGACAACACTTCAATTCAAATTGGATAAGAGATTTCCAAAAGTAGGCAAACCCCTTATTGGCAAAAGTAGTTAGAAGAAATATTAAAATTTGGAAGTCAAAAGAAATACAAAACGAATTATCCAAATTGAGATGAAGACTAAAATGTTGGTGAGAATCCAAATGTAGTCTGTTTGCAAAATATACATGCATGAAACACACTTAAAAAGAAGAAACCATACTATTTATGTCATTCTGGTTTGTTTTATCTTGCCAACATAATGAGCATTCAGAATAAAAAAGGAAATGACAATAAAACCGAGGAACGTTTTGGAGTGGTAGTGCTATGACATCATGTTTTCTTTTGGAGTGATTGGAAGATGTGTTAAACGCATACAATCTTTGAAAATAACAACATCAACATCATTGTTGTCAGCACTTTAGTGTAGTTAGCGATGACAATTTGAACATGTCCCGCAAGTATTAACTGACCTAACCCGTGACGGGGCGGGTGTTTTCCCAACCCACAGTAGCATGGGACGGGGCATGGTTACCTACTTCTGCCCCGCTCTGTTCTTGACCCAATTAATTTCAATTTCTTACATTATCTATTCATATTTCTCCTATGTTGACTTCTCAACCCATTCTCCCTTTCGTTTCTCGTAAAAAGTAAAATTTTAACTTTCTTTTCAAATTAGAATGGTTCTAAAATATATCATTTTACAACCAAATATCTATCTATCTATCTATCTATACTATATATTATGGCAATTCAAAAGTAACTTCTTGCCACATAAGCACTTGGAGAATTCACAAGTTGCCAAGGTGGACAACTTTTTTTTGCAAACAAAAAATTCATTATTGATCTATTTATGGAGCTATCTCTCTCTTCTTTTAATATTTCTACTCATTTTTACTAAAAATTAATAATAAATTACATTTTTATGAGAATGTAAACAAACACACAAAAGTATAATATTTTTGTCAATTAAAAAAAATATAAAGATGGAAATAGAGAGTGACTATATCGAATTTGTTTAAATAAAAAATATATGATTAAATTTTATTAAGTAAATTTTCTACTCATTTTCACCAAAACTTAATAATAAGTTACATTTTGACATAAATTTAAAAAAGTACACATATATAATAATATTTGTATCAATTAAAGAAAATATTACAATAGAAACATTGAAAACAAATGATTAAAAAAGTAAACACATATATATTAATATTTTTATCAATCGACTTTGAAAATGAAATATATGAATTTATATTTTTTGTATTAACAACTCTCTTATTTCTTATGTAGTTTTTTTGTCGAATTATTTCTAATATATATTTCTATCAAATAAAACAAGTCTTATATAGTAAAAGGTCTGAATATAAATTTTTTATTCATCATGATTAAGTGAAAACATATATTCATGTTCTATCTTCTATTTCTCAAATTAAGAGGAATCAGGTGTGCAATACTTTATAATTTGTCCTAGGGTTCATATAAAAATATTCACTCTATATCATATTAATTGAACAATCTCTATTGAAGTCATAAGTCGAATGCTAAGTAATTTCTTTTCAGATTTGGAGTTATTGTCGAACATTATTATGTCAAAGTTTTCAAAATGACTTAAGTATGATTTTTGACGAGTTTTGACTTCATATCTAAGATGAGACACAACATCACTTAAAAAACAACACGTGTGAAGGTTAAGAAAATCTTCGTTGAGGATATACGATAAACATCACGTTTCATCAACCACTAACGTTAGCATTGATCAAATAAGTGTTGAAAATTTTTATTTAATAGTTGATGTATTGGTAGACAAATCTAAATTCGAGGATAGAGGCAATAAATAAACATAAGTGTGTTAGTTGAGATATCTAAACAAAAAACTTTTGTAGCTACAAGAATCTGAATTGAGGTATTGTGTTAAAATAAAGAATCTTTAATAAGGATGAGTTTAGTAAGACAATTGTAAGAAAACATTAGGATAGTTTGCTTCGTGGATTTGAAAACTGAAGGTTTTAATAAAACTTGGATTTTGTAAAAGCATGGATATATAAAGGTTTTTGGTTCATTATGTATTTGAAAATACCATATTTCGTTTCATAGATTTCATGATGCATTTGGTGAATTGAATTTGTATGTTGGAAGTGAAAATTACATATATTACCTTCATTGGTATGAGAAGGGAAATGAAATATGAGGGGTAGGTTGGTCATAAATAATAATCTGCAAATTCCATGATGAATTTCCATCTAAAGAGGTGAAATTTTCAAGTATGTGTGGCCCACAAATTTGGAACCTTAAAATACATGAGACCCACATATTTGTTGCCTCTAAATACATGAAGCAAGCAATGGTTGGAAAAAGTTCACGATAGCTCCAAATTCATCAAGCAAACAACCCCACCTATATGGTTGTGAGTCTGTGACTCCAAACCAAATTTTGGCAATAACAAAAACTTTTTCAATATCGAAGTCTCAAAATGGAAATCTTTTGGTTAGTAACAGTAAGCAATTTGTATTTAGATCGAGTTATCATAGCCACAAAATTTTGTTTTCATATTTCAGTCGATGAGCCGAGTTCATAGGTATTAATTAGGGTTAAAAATTAAAATAAAATCATTATACATAAACTTAGATATTAATAGATATGTCTACAATACTTTCAAGAATTCAAATGCATGTAAAATGTCACAATGTTTCTACGAGTTATTACATTTTATAAAAAAAATAAAAAGTAAATTAAGTTAATAAAAATGAATGAAACATTTTGGTTTGTTCCTATTCCTTTTCCCATACAACATTGAAAATAAAACACAACATTGATAATAGAGAAACTAGATCAAGCTCCACAAAAACAAATAAAGCTCTCTTCTTATTTGCTTATATTTTGAGTTTCTAGAATTTGTCTTCTCTACTTTTTTGTATATAGACATAGGAAAGGAAATGGTAAGGCATATTGATTTTTTCCCCTCTTTGTAGGAGAATAGGAGGCGGGAGTTACATGATGCAATGATTTGTTGGAAAAGAATTGAACAACTCTAACATATATTTGCCTATTGACGAAGAAAAGTCCAACCTATCATTTCTCCCTCTTCCTTTTTGATCTGATCCGCAGTGGGCAATTGATATTTCTTCCTCGGAGATATCTGACTGCTAGCGGTTGACTGCCCGAGTTATAGCCTTCTTCCCATTCTTTTCTTAATATATTCCAGATTACGGCGGCTGGATAGTAAATTTCCCTTTTCGATTCAATGGTTGTATTTCTTCTTCGTTATTCAGGTAGTTGTTTTATGGTTCTCTGTTATCCTGTATACTTTGATGTAAACATGTAACATATAATTCAAAGGGTTCATTGCTTGGACTTGGAGCATCTCTTCCCTTTTGATCTGATCCGCAGTGGGCAATTGATATTTCTTTCTCGGAGATATCTGACTGCTAGCGGTTGACTGCCCGAGTTATAGTCTTCTTCCCATTCTTTTCTTAATATCTTCCAGATTACGGCAGCTGGATAGCAAATTTCCCTTTTCGATTCAATGGTTGTATTTCTTCTTCGTTATTCAGGTAGTTGTTTTATGGTTCTCTGTTATCATGTATACTTTGATGTAAACATGTAACATATAATTCAAAGGGTTCGTTGCTTGGACTTGGAGCATCTCTCCTTTGGTTGAATAATTGATCGTTTTCCTTGGAGGCCTATTGCAACTCGATTCCTTGGATGTAAAGATGGAAAGCATAGTTGTGAGGGTTGTTCATTATGTTTATTATGTTCATGAGTAACATGCTACTAGCTAGCTATATGACCATGATCTGATCAAGTAAATAGTTTGTAACATGGGGTTATAAGTAGGAGGGAACATATTTGGGATTTTATAAAGGGCGCGAAGAAGAAATAAAATGGTAGTAAATGTCGATGTTTTCCCCCATTTCTAGACGTTTGTAATGACATTGGTTTGTTTCCTTAGCGTGAATTTTGCCTAATTAAATACCTAACTAAAGCTTGATTTTGGCCTAATTGTTTCATAATAACTACTATTTGGATTGATGCATCAATTCGATTCACAATGGGGACTCTGCAAGATTTAATGACTTGAGTTATATTGAAGAATATAACTTTTACTATTCATTTATGTTATTATTAGGTAGAAAAACATGATCCTTTTGGCGGGGTAGGTAGCTCTCTACAAAATATAAATTATGATTATATGCAGTTTAGTTTACTGAAAACATAGTTTTAATAAATTATTGACAAACAATAGTTTTATTTGTGGTTGGTTTTGCTAGAATATTTTCAAGGTAAATTAAACGAATAAGCGGAAGATTGATAATGTGGATGCCAATGTGGTTTCTCATTCTTCCAAAATTACACGAGCAACTGATACTACACGATATTTGTGGGATCTAGATCGCGATATTCTCTATTATCATATACCAACGTACGAGAAGGGTGAGAAAATGAAAGCTCTTCACTTTTTTTTATTAATTGAAATATAATTGCAAATTTTAACTTCTTCTTTTGTGTCCTTCAAAATTTTAACTTCTTTGTCACTTTGTGTGCTAAAAAATTAATAATCTCTTAGTTTATAACTTAAATGGTGGATTCGATACATAATTATAAATCAAAAAAGAAAGTACTACAGAGAACTCATTTAATAAAATTAAAACTTCATAAATAAATAAATAAAAGATATAAAAATGTCAAACAATATATGAAATTTGGTAAGTGAGATTAACAATTCAATGTATCATAGTTTAACATAATGAATCATAAATAAAATTATAATACTAGGACGAAAAATATAATAACTAATCAAAACTTGCCGCCCAACGGGCGGGTATAAAGCTAGTAATATATATTTGAAATTGGGTTCCAAAAATAGTAACAACGGTTTTACTATAAATAGTTGAAAAATATTAAAGGGAATTTTTTGAAAAGTATTGTTTTTTTAAGTATTGAGTTTATTAAGAAAAAATAGAGACGGGTTATTATTGGATATATGAAAGAACGAGAGGGTTAAGATTTGAAAGTAGCAATGAAAAATGAATAATTTGCAAGTGATTGGTGGAGCAATCATTTGCAAATTACTCAATTGAGAGGTTGTTTTGCTGAGTTAATTGTTTTGATGTGTGGTATTTGATGACAAATAACTCATTATTCATAATCGTGACATGTGCGTTATTTATATTGCAATTAGCTCCAACTAGCTCGTTTAGTTAAATAGTTATTTAACGTGTGATATTCTAAAACAAGTATTAGGTGGAATGTCAATATACCCTTGATAATGTAAAATGGATTTTTTTTTTTTTTTACAATAGGAGCACTTGTATTGCATTGAGAATCACAGTTACAAGGAGTGGGAGAAACACAATGAAAACAAAACAATAATGAACTCAAAAGTCAGAGCAATCCAAACCAAAGCAAAAGCCAGAAAGAACTCGAAAAGATTGAATCCAACAGAAGAATCCAAAACAGAAGGCTATCAAAGTGAACCCAGAACCCCTTGCTTCCACAACAATCAGCACAGCACAAGCAAGGTTTCAACTCGCCCGAAACCAGACAAGCCCATGGCTATTGAACATTGCAACGCCAAAAGTCGCCACCTGGGGATCGTTCAAAGACGACCCATCACAGTGAATCTCATGGAAGAGAAATCTCGGTGCGGTGAGCAGGCTGAAACCGGGATGCTCTGAGCTGAAAGAGGCCGAAGAAGCCGGAGGCATGGATGACCAGGAACCGGGAAAGAGAAGATTCTTCTTCACCATCTCCAGAGAACCAGCGAACCACAACCCACAACACCAAAAATGACACCAGACCCCACAACAGTCAACCGACAGGAATCAAGCAAACCAAAGGTAGAAAGAAGGGAGGAATAGTGAATCTGCCCACCAAAAGAGATGAGCACACCAACATGGAGCAGACCCCCAATCGCAAACCACCATTAGAAGGTCCCCAAGCTGCAATTTTTGGATCCAAGGAGCAAGGCCAAACAGATCTACGAACCAGAAAACACTGTGGATAAAACCACTTGGAGAAAGACCACAAGGATCTGGAAAAAGCCAACAAGGGGAGGAGAAAGGCAGTAGGACAAGCAAGAAAATAAAAAAACAGGAAAGAAAAGAGGTTGGCCTACCGCCGGACACCCAGGGGAACCGGCGGCAGCCCTGAATGAAAGGGGAAAAAGTGAAAAACCAAAGTTTAGAGAGAAGGGAGAGCTTCAAATTCAAAATAAAGTTTAGAGAGAGAGTTTTCCGGGTAAATTTGATTTGAGTAATGTTGAACTCAAAACTAACCCATAAATGAGTAACGAGTTGGGTTAAATCCAACCCATTATACAGATTTGGTCAATAATTGGGGGACCTTTTTGCCGGCGGTAGTAGGCGATGTCCACCACGTTCGTCGGTTAGCGAGTGGCAAGGGCAGGGTACGCCGGAGAAAGATTTGGGGAAACTACTTTGGAAAATGGTGGTACGAATGACGGCCGCTTCAAACCTTTTCCTTCCCCCTCCGTCCCCCTCTCTCTCTATCAAATCCCAAAGTCAGACAATTTTAATAGTTTATACCAATGTTGTCAAAAGCGAACCAGAATACGACTCGATAATGTGAACAACACAGATTTTAGCAGTCAAGTCGACATTAAACCGTTTAAAAATCGTTAGAAAACCGATACCTAATAAACAATCAGTATAAATAGTTGACACTTCTTAATCATGGTAAACCATGACTAAATTAGCAAATTACACTCTTAACTATTAACAATTCCAAAACATGAGTAACAAAACTTCTAGAATCATGACTATCAGAGGAGGAGCTACGGGAAGAGGGGACGGGGACTGGCGATGGCGAGCAGGGAACCGGGAGTAGGGAGTGTGGGAGCGACTACATAGACTAGGGATGGCGACGGGAAGCATCGTGTCGGGAAGTGACGACAGAGCGGAGGAGTTGCTACGGGAAGTGGGGACGGGGACGGGGACGGAGACTGGCGATGGCGAGCTCGGAGTAGCTATGCTGACTTGGGATGACGACGATGCCGAAGTGAAGCCGGGACGAGAAGTGTTGACGGCGGCAGGGTCTGGCGCCGCTCTTCTTCAATTTTTAATTTTATTTTTTATTTTTTTTATTAAACAGAATGGTCTGAAGGGGAAAACTGAGCGACCGGCTCGAGCGGTTAACCGCCTCGGCCGCTTGCCGACCACTCTATAAAACCGTAGGGGTTAAATGATTGGCCCGAGCTGATTTTGAGGCTCGGTGGCAGCTTTAGCAGTCCGGTCGGCCGGCTCGGTCCGGTCTTACTAACACTGGTTTATACTATAATATAATTACGGGGAGGATGGAGCTTTGAAGTAGGGATGGCAACAAAAACCGAACCCACGGGTACCCACCCGACCCAACCCGGTCAACGCGAGTAAAATCCTTGTTGACGGGTTTTGGGCCGGGTTTGGGTTTAAACCCGTTCACTATTCACCGCGTTGGGTTTGGGTAAACCCGCCCCATGGATACCCGCCCACATCCATATAATTAATTTTCTCGGTATATTTTATATTCTAAACAACCAATCTTATTTATGTTTGGGGAGACATATCTATTTTTTTTTCTAATTGTGTAAAATGAAGTTGATGTTATCGAGCAGAGAGTGAAGAAATTTAATATAAATAAAGAAGTTTTCAATTAATCATGTTATTTATAGATAATTTGTGATTTGTTTCAATTTTCTTGAGTTTTCTAGATTGGTGTTGAACAATTTGTATAGTTAATTTGTGATTTACTTGAATTTTCTAGATGGTGTTTTATATACGAATAATTTTTATTGAGAGATTGATATTTGAATTTAATTTTGATAGGAACTTGTTATTGTAAACTTTTTACGACAAAAACCCGTTAGTACCCATGAACTCGCGAATATCCAACGGATTGGGTTTGAGTTTTTCAAAGGGTTAATATTTTCGTATGACCTGAACTTTGACCAAAATAAACATCATGTCCAATCTTTTCGATCTATAACATCCTGGCCCGAACTATACACCAAAATAAACAATTTGGCCAGATCCGACTTTTGACCGTTAACTTGGACGGTCAAACGCGTTGACCGTTAGTCAACGCGCCATGTCACTGCCAAGTCAGCATAAAATATTTAAAATATTTCACAATTTCCACACATTCCCTAATTTTAAATTATTATAAATAAAAAAAAATCATCTAATACCTAAGTTAAACCAAAAATAAAAAAACGGAAAAAATTAAATATTTATTAGATCTTCTGACTTGGCAGTGACGTGGCGCGTTGACCGTTAGTCAACGCGTTTGACCGTCCAAGTTAACGGTCAAACATCGGATTTGGCCAAATTGTTTATTTTGGTGTATAGTTCGGGCCATGATGTTATAGATCGAAAAGATTGGCCATGATGTTTATTTTGGTCAAAGTTCAGGCCATACGAAAACATTAACCCTTTTTCAAACCCAATAAGTTTTATCCTAGATATTTGCACGGAGAAACCCATGGATTTGATTTGGGGTTGGCAAAACCCGAAATATTGCCATATCCCTACTTTGAAGAAGGAGGACGGAGGAATGCCGCTTACACGTCCGTTCACCGCCGTTTGCCCAAACCAAATGCTCTCACTCTTTCTTCCTTTCTCTCTACTGTCACTCTATTCTCTGTCTCTGTCACAAACTCTCTCTCTCTTCATAAAACCCCTATCTCTGGTTTTTTTCGTTTTCCATTTTCCTTCTCTGAGCTCTTATTAATAACGCCTTATAGAGTGAGTACTATACTACTAGTAGTCCTTCACGCCAATTGCCTGTTCACTGAGCAGCAGCCCACCCTCCATTCTCTCTCTACGCCCACACAGTGACAATCTCCTCCTCCAAACTTTGCTCCCCTTCTTCTTCTTCGTCTCTTTCCCAACCATGGTAGTATTCCCCTGTTGACTCCACTCCACCTTCTCCTCGCCTCTGTTTTTCCCGATTCCGGCACTCTTGTTTCGTGGGTCGGTGGAGGAAGAAATGGACGGAAATGGGTTCTTCATCGAGCAGAAGAAGCTTCTCTCCCGGCGTTTTCTGGTGCTCGGAGTTTTTCTCTGTCTGGTTCTCTGCCCTCACGCTTCCTCGCTGAACGACGAAGGTTCGTTTTTTTTTCGTTTCTCCTTTTCCCCGATTCTGTCACTTTAACCGTCCCCTGGTTTTCTTCAATGATGCTAAAATGGCGGGTTTTGCAGGTAGAGCTCTGATGGCGATCAAGGGTTCATTCAGCAACGTGGTGAATATTCTATCCGACTGGGGCGACGCCCACAACGAAGATTTCTGTTCATGGCGTGGAGTCTGGTGTGACAATCTCACTATCTCTGTTGCTTCTCTGTAAGTTTCTCCATCTCTCTTACCCTGTTTTTTTTTTTTTTTTCCAGCATTCTCCTTATCTGGCTCTGGCTGTGAAGTTTTTTTGACTTTATCTTGCCCTTTAACTCCAGGAACCTCTCAAATTTGAACTTGGGTGGTGAGATTTCTCCTGCCATTGGAGACTTGAGGAACTTGCAGTCTCTGTAATACTCCCCTGCTAAGAGCTCCATTACTGAACTCCTGTAACTCTGTTATTTTTTTCTCTCCAAAGTTTTGACTGAAGTCTTTGTATTGACAGGGACCTTCAAGGAAACAAGCTATCGGGTCAAATCCCAGATGAAATCGGCAACTGTGGTTCTCTTTTTCATCTGTAAGTCTCCGTTTCACTGATACTGCTCCTTCTCCTCATTTTTCCCCCACCTCCGACGTGATTCGTAAGCGTTTGAATTTTTTTTCCGGTGGCAGGGATCTCTCCGATAACTTGCTCTATGGAGATATTCCATACTCCATTTCCAAGCTGAAGGAACTGGAATACCTGTACGCACCCTCAATTTCTTCCCTTCCAAGGCTCTTTCATATTAACCTTTCCACTCCGATTCTCACTACCCCCTGAATTTTTTTCAGGAACTTGAAGAACAATCAGCTCATCGGTCCTATACCCTCGACTCTGACGCAGATTCCCAACCTCAAAACAATGTCAGTTTTCTTCTTCTTCTTCTTCACAACCGCATTTTCGTATTTCAGGATCGACCTTTCGTTAAACGCTACGTTTTCTGCCTCCATTTCCAGTGACCTTGCTCGGAATCAGCTCACCGGCGAGATACCCAGATTAATCTATTGGAATGAAGTCCTGCAGTACCTGTGAGCCTCATCGCCATACTAAAAGACGCCATACTTGTTTTTATTTTTTACCTTCGTCGCCATGAGACGAGCTCTGAACTTCGATTATCTTTTGAGCAGTGGGTTGCGTAGTAATTTTCTGACGGGAACGCTGTCTCCTGATATGTGCCAACTCACCGGCTTGTGGTACTTGTGAGTAATTTCAACCCTTCTCTTCGTTCAAAGTTGTGTTCTTCTCCCGTTGATGGATTGCTAAGCTTTAATGCAAATTCATTGTTGTGTTCTTCAGCGACGTGAGGGGCAACAATCTTACCGGAACCATCCCTGATAGCATTGGCAACTGCACAAGCTTTGAGATATTGTAACGATCTTTCAGCACTCGAACTTTGGAAGTCTATACTTGTGCTGTTCATCTGGGTTTTTGGTGAAATGTTTACTGATTTAAGGATGGTTGAATTGTTGCAGGGACATATCATACAACATGATCACAGGGGAGATTCCTTACAATGTTGGCTTCTTGCAAGTAGCTACTCTGTCACTGCAGGGGAACAGGCTTACTGGGAAGATTCCTGAGGTCATTGGTCTAATGCAAGCTCTTGCTGTTCTGTAAGTGTCGCGTTACCACTCTTGAACTCCAGTCTACTCCTTCACATTTCAAGCTTTTGATTGCTTTCCTTCCTCCATTTCTAGGGATTTGAGCGAGAACCAGCTAGTTGGACCAATCCCACCGATCCTGGGCAATCTGACTTACACAGGCAAACTGTAAGATCTGGTGTCTGTACAGTGATACTTCAGCTCTGTTACATGGATTGCTGATACTGGTGTTTGGTGGAAAATTAGGTATCTCCATGGAAACAAACTTACTGGACCAATTCCCCCAGAACTTGGGAACATGTCCAAGCTTAGTTACTTGTAAGAGTTCGTTCCAGTTCCAAGTTGCGCTTCGATGCTTGTGTGGAGTAGCCGAAAGTTGTGGTTAAGCAATTAGGATTTCTGCAAATTTTGCAGGCAACTGAATGACAATGAGTTCACTGGTGGCATCCCCCCTGAACTAGGCAAGCTGGAGCAGTTGTTCGAATTGTAAGTGTGTATTCTTTACTGATTTGTGTTCTCAACTCGAAGATTCCGATGTACTGATTGTTCAATTTGTTATTGCGTTGTCAGGAATCTTGCCAACAACAATTTGGAAGGCTCCATTCCTCACAACATCAGTTACTGTACTGCATTGAACAAGTTGTAAGTTTTCATGTAAATTGACGATCTCCTTTCATGTGCTTATCTGAAATTACGAAATGTGAACTGGTTTCTTTCTGAGTGATGCATTCTTCATTTTGCAGCAATGTTTATGGGAACCGCCTCAATGGAACAATCCCTCCAGGATTCAGAAACTTGGGGAGCTTAACTTACCTGTAAGCTCTTGTAGTTGACTATATAGGATAGGCGAACATTGTCCTGCTACTGTGCTCTAATGAATGTACTTGTTATATTCCAGGAACCTTTCACTGAACAACTTCAAAGGCAAAATTCCATTCGAGCTTGGACGCATTGTCAACCTCGACACACTGTAGGTTTTGTGAATTTGTAGCTCCCATTTAGTTTCTCAAACTTTTCGGAATTGATCGAGGGAGAAGTCTTAGAGTTCTTGTGTTCTTTGGACTGTTTTAGGGATCTTTCTAGCAATAGCTTTTCTGGGCCTATACCAGCTTCAGTTGGAGATCTGGAGCACCTTCTGATATTGTAAGAACCCTAGATTGGTGTTAGTGCTTTAGTGCATACTGCTTGCTGCTTCATCTAAACTCGTTCGGCATCCAGGAACTTAAGCAAGAACCACCTTGGTGGACCGTTGCCAGCTGAATTCGGTAACCTTCGCAGCATTTTAATCATGTAAGTCCCCAACCATTTGGTCACTCTTCTGATCTTTGTTGTACATGTCACTGATGGTCTCTGGCTTATTTTTTTTCTCCAGTGATGCTTCTTTCAACAATGTCACTGGAACCATTCCCATCGAACTTGGCCAGCTGCAAAATGTTGCTTCCTTGTAAGTATTAAATTTATATATGGCCCTCAATTCACTCAGTCCTTATCTCTGCCAAACAATACCCATCCTATTAATCGACATTATCATTGGCAGGATTCTAAACAACAACAGCCTGAATGGACAAATTCCTGAACAGCTTTCCAACTGTCTCAGCCTCACCAATCTGTAACCATCCTTCCATCGTTTTTTTCCTTTGTCCCAAAATCGTAAAGCTCATGGAAATCAGTACCCTGAAACTGCCTTTCCTGTGTTACTAGGAACTTTTCTTACAACAACTTGTCGGGGATAGTTCCTCTGCTTCGGAACTTTTCTCGATTTCCAGCTAACAGGTGCAGCAGATATCTCTTCCAATGTCTTCCTCATCGTTACCCTCTCGTTATACTTAAAATCATTCCTTTTGTTGTGCCAGCTATGTGGGTAATCCTTTGCTCTGTGGGAACTGGGTTGGCTCCATATGTGACCCTTACACTGTAAAGTCAAAAGGTAACAGCTTCAGCTTAACTTTTCAGCATTTCATTGAAATAAACTTGCTCTGAACTCTTTCCCTTCTTCCATCCAGCAATATTCACGATGCCTGCAGTTGTCTGCATAGTGCTGGGAGTCCTTGCTCTACTCTCCGTGGTCGCACTTGCTATCTACAAATCCAAGCAACAGAACCTGTTGGACGATGCCACCAACAACTCATTGCAAGGTTTTTTAGTTCCATACTTGAGTGTACATTTCTGGCAAACCATCGTTTCCTCCCTTTTTTGTTGCCAACGTTTGCTCCTCTGTCTTCTCCATTTTTTTAGGCCCTCCAAAGCTAGTGGTGCTTCACATGGACATGGCATTCCACACCTTCGACGACATACTGAGCTACACCGAGAACTTCAACGAGAAGTTCATCATTGGCTGTGGAGCTTCGGGCACAGTGTTCAAATGCGTGCTGAAAAATTCTCGACCCCTCGCAATCAAGCGACTCTACAGTCACAAGTACCCTTACAACCTTCGTGAGTTCCAAACTGAGCTCGAGACCATCGGCAGCATTCGTCACAGAAACATCGTCTCTCTCCATGCCTACGCCTTGTCACCTTCTGGCAACCTCCTCTTCTACGACTACATGGAGAACGGCTCTCTCTACGACCTCCTCCATGGCGTGTCCAAGAAGGTGAAGCTCGATTGGGACACACGTATCAAAATCGCAGTTGGCGCTGCTCAGGGACTCGCTTACCTTCACCACGACTGCAACCCCAGAATCATTCACAGGGACGTCAAGTCGTCGAACATTCTTCTGGACGAGAACTTCGAAGCTCATCTCGCCGATTTCGGTATCGCCAAATGCATCCCGTCGGCGAAATCTCATGCATCGACGTTGGTTCTAGGGACTATCGGCTATATAGACCCTGCGTACGCCAGAACTTCTCGTTTGAACGAGAAGTCCGACGTCTACAGCTTTGGCATTGTTCTACTGGAGCTTCTCACCGGGAAGAAGGCTGTGGATAACGACTCCAACTTGCTTCAACTGGTAACGTTTTCTACTAAATACACAACTAGTTAATAGCAGATTACTGAATTGTCTAGCTAGCGAGTCTCTGAGAATTTAAGAAACGTTCTTGTTCTGTTTGGTGGTTATCAGATCATGTCGAAAGCTGACGACAACACGATAATGGAGGCTGTGGACTCGGAAGTTTCGGTGACGTGCATGGATGCGAACCATTTGAGAAAGACTCTGCAACTGGCTTTACTGTGTACTAAGACGAACCCTTCTGAGAGGCCGACGATGCATGAAGTTGTGAGGGTGCTGGTCTCGTTTCTGCCACGTCCACCGATGAAGGGTTGCTCGCTCTCGTCAAAGGGTATCGACTACTCGAAGTTCGTCGTTGAGAAAGAGGAGAAGCCACTTGTTGGATGTGAGTCTGTTCTACAACAGCAGCAGCAGCAGTTGCAGCAAGAGAACAACAACTCTTCTGATGGTCAGTGGTTTGTTAGGTTCAGAGAAGCTATATCTAAGAACACGTTTTAGGTAGTTTATCGACAGTTTATAACCAAACTAGGGAGGAGAAAGTAAGTGAAAAGATCCCAAATTTTGGCTTTTGGAAAGGAATGATGGTGATTCATGGGTTCTGTACTTCGACCTTGGGTTTAAGGCTGGGAACCAGCCTCGGGTATTGGTTTTTGTATTTGGGTGGACCGTGGCACCCGAACTGGTTTGGTTTTGGTAGGTTCAATACAGGCAGTTGTAGAAACTTGCTAAAAGCTTGCTGACATTTACACTTGGTATTAACTTATGCACAGAATGGCCACCTGCTTACATTGAAGTAATTACATGATTGCCTAGTTATTTTTCTCTGTTCGTGTTGAAAGTCTAAATTGTTGCGAAATAGATCACTACCATTGTTACATCTTGAAGCTCCTGATGGATTCATGTCATTTCAGGATCCACGCACTTGATGAACTAGATAATAATGAGCAGGAGGCCCCCCTGAAATCCTGAACTATATACTGATACTAGATAGCAGGAGAGCCCCCTGAAGTCCTTTTGCCGATGGAGTTAATCGGTTGTTATTTTGTTAGTGAATTGGCATACTCCTATGTCAGGGAAAAACAACGAAAGTATTCTAATGTTATGAGAGGGTTAGAAGAATCCAGTTAGAGGTGATCAAAATTTTCGTGCATGAACCGAAGAGGGCTAACCTGCTATTGTTCATGTGGCGTCCAAGTGAAGAAGATATGGTCTCTTCATTTCCACAATGGTGAAGAATCACTGGTCCAGGCCAATGCGGTTTCATCTAGTTCAGCCAGCGGAGATTTCATGAGAGTGATGGCCAATGCAGAAGCAAGGATTATTTGTAGGTGAAAGTCACCGACCATGGGAAGCTAGTGTACCTCTTTCTCTTGATTCGAGTCTCTCCGTGTGTTCTGTTTCGAGAGCTTTGATGCAGAAAACAGGCAAGTATACAATAGTTAGCTTTATCTAGGACATATATGATATATACATTCTGAAATTGGATGAAGGGTTTGAGAGGAACACCTCAGGATGAGGATGTACTTTTGTCTGATGTCTAGTTGCAGAATGAGGTTGAGACGCTAGGGAGAGCTGGTATAAGCATAAAGAGTGGAACAGTGAAGTAAGTCCAAAGTGTTCCACCTTTTTCACATGAAATGAACCCTAAGAAGAATCTGAGGGGAGTGAACCTGATTAAACTCATCTACTGGAGGCTCATCCAGGTACCTCCTTTTGTCTGTGCTCTTTAATTCCTGAAGTTGGTAGGGAGGGCTATCCGATTAAATGTGACAAAATTGAACTACTAGGCCATTGAGAATTTACAGAACTTTGGACTGGTTGCAGGCTACCTTCGTTTTGAGAGATCGAGTTCTCCCCTGTCGCTCCTGTTTGTCCTTCTGTGGAGGACCACTGCATCAAAAGGATGAACCCTGTGAAAGATCTGGTTGTTTTTAACTTCGTGGTTATCACAGCAGCCTGCAATCTTACCTGGTCAATTCTCTGTTGTGTCTTTCAGACGAAGATTTCGAACGGGGTAGCTTTACTCCCTGCAACAGAAAGCTTTGTCAGCTCAGGTTTACAACCAGACCAACTAAACATCAAAAGGGTTACAAACACCTTGCTAGTCTAGAATTCTTATTTGAGTTGCATGGTAAAATAAGTATGCAACTTACTTGAAGTTCTGGAAGCTGCCGTGTGGACTTCCTAGGGACAGGCAAGGAAGGAGCCTTACAAAGCTGCCAAACCACAAAAGAGTTGGGGTAAAGATCAGAAACTGTGTAGAAATATAAGAGGGAAATGAGAGACAACTCAAATGCCGTAGCCTGTAGGTGAATGTAGAGACCTTTCCATTCAATGGTCTTGTTTTGGCAGGAGAAGTACTGGGTTTTGCACATTTTTCAAACTCCAATTTAGTTTTGGACCTGACGATTTTCAGAGAAGCGGTATCTCAGTGATGAACAAAACTGTAAAATGAAGGTGGCTGCAAGGTTGAACAGCATTACCTCCGTCGCTCTGCTCTAATAGCTGTTGCTAGATTTGGTTGTACAGGAACTGTAGCTTTAGGTCTACTTGAGGCCTTGTTAACTCCCTGAGAATCCAAGACCAACCACTGAGCAAAACTGACGAAATGTAACAGGTGATGACGAAATGTACACTAATTCTGGAACTAACAAACCTTTGGATTTGATTCTTTGTGTGGGAAAAGAGCTTGATGCTTCAGCCGAGCACCCTGAAACAACATTGAGATCAAAACCATTGTCGCTCCCGGTTCGGGCCCGAACAACTAGCAAGAAACAAAGACAAACCCAGAAGATTGAAGAATGTAAAACGACCATTGTGCTACCTTGCGCAAGTAACCAGCCTCCAGCTTTTGCCTTTTGGTTGTTGGGATTCCACTGGTAGATGAACTCCGCGAACTCCTCCCCTCGCTTTTGGTGGTGTCCTTTGGAAACCTTACCAAATCATGAATCACCATTACTCAGTATGAACTTATTTCAGCTAATATATAAAATTATAGTTCAACAATGGTTAGACTATCTTAGCAAAACCCAGACCTTCTGAGCAATCGCTCGCACTGAATTTGCTCTGGGGCCAATTTCTTGGCCAAGTGACTAGCCGTAGGGTTCATGAAACTCGAACTTCTTTTCTTTGCCGGAGATTTAGCCCGCGATTTCGGTTGACATTTGCAATCGCAAGGTTTTGATCCTGCAACATTTGCTAGGCCAACGGCCAAATTTGAGCATAATCCGCGTATTTCAAGTTCCTGAAAGAAAAAACATTCATCTGAGGGGGATCCAAAATTACCTGATTCATCGTTATCTTCGTCTTCTACGGAAGAGTTCGTTCTGCCGGAACTGGAAGGATTCGTCTCTACAGGAGGAACCAGCGGTCTCCAGCACATCTTGAGAGCCAGCGCTGGGAATTCAAATGTAAGAGAAAGCAAAACCGAAACCACAATGATTCAATTGCGGGAAACAAATTAAGAAGGAAAGGATTGATGATTGAGAGAACGATTTACGAGAAGGCGGATATCCTGCAGCGACGTCGAGCCATCCCTGAGCTTGATCGGCTTCGGAATCGGGTTCCGGCTTGGTGAAATCGTGGAACTTAGGCGCGTCGAACTCGTAATCCAGGTCGAATTCCTCGACTCCTGAAAACGGATCGTAGAAGAATTCCTCCGCTTCGCGATCCTCCAACTCATCCATTTTCCCGCCCAATTTCGTCACAAGCAGCGAGGAAAAGAACAATCTCCAGCCGAGATTAAATAAAGAAAGGCGATGAAATTAAACCGGAGATCACCGGCGCCGGACGAAACCTGATGCCAAAAGCTTCCGTTTCATTCAAACATTCGTTTTTTTGTTTTTGTTTTCAGAGATAACTTGCTGTTCTGGTACGGCCGGCCGGTGGGCGGCTCTGTTCTTTTCCCCCCTCCCTCTGGTTGCCAGAGAGGAAATGGCCGCGGGAGAAACTAGAAAACAATGGAGGCGGTGAATCTGGCAATTTGAGAAGGAAACAGAGCAATAATTTCGTTGGTTGAGAGATTGGAGAAAAGGGCATGCAGCACAGGAGCGAAGGAGGAGGGGAGGAAATGGAGGGAAGGGCGAAAGCCGTCACGTGACGATGGATCCAGCTTGAGTCTCTTGTTGACGTGGCACGTTCTGGCAAGCGGTGAGCTGGAGGCCTGGGTCCCACAATTTTAGGGGCAGAACTAAGGTTGTCAACCTGCGGGTCGACCCACTTTGACCCTGACCCGGTGAGAAAAACGGGCTGAATGCATTCGTCGGGTCAACCGCTATGAGGTATTGGGTTGGAGGTCAAATTATGTCATTTTTTTCTTTGATTTGCGAAATGCGCATATTTTCCGATTTTTCTTTTCGCCTAACTCAATCTTTGAAATCCTAAGCTTAACATTTGAATATTGATGTTATATAAGTGTGTGGAATTTTCACTATATGTTGGATCTAAGTACGACATGTTATTTTGGTATAATATTATATGTTGTAACTCATATGTTAGATGAGATTTGATATAATTTATAAGGATAAGTACAATATAATGACTATTTTCATATTTCCGGGCTAAAACGGGTGACCCATTAACCCTTGACCCACTAGCTCGACCGGTTCCGGATCAGGCCGCGGGTTGACAACCTTGGGCAGAACACAGTTTCTTTCTTTTTCAAATCCTACGACGATCAATCTTGTGGATAGAAAATCAAGGATTCTAAAATCTCTTTGCACCGGACAACGGTAGATTACTTTTATACTGAAATCGTGTTAGTTTGATCAATTAGGACATGTTTAGAGATTGCGATTCATACAATTAATGTATTCTATCAATAAGTGCATTATAAATATATGCATTCTATCAATTGTTGTATTTGACAAATTTCACATTCTAAAGAATTTGGAGAAAATAAGCATTTGAAAACAGATCCAAAAAACGAAATATTTTGCATGAGAGAGAATATAAATCGACGATGGTGGGGACTTGTGACGGTCTTTCTTCATTGTGTCATAAACCAGTTGGTCCCAATAACTCATTGTAAACTATCGTTCATTGTGTCATAAACCAGTTGGTCCCAATAACTCCAGTTGTTGGGAGAAGGTTATTCTGGATCTTATACCACACTCTTACACGCCCCCTCAAACGAAAGCCAATCCATGGGCTTGAAGTTTGCACAAGCCCACCATTGTGCTTTAATCAACTGTCAATATTGGGGGGTCGTGAAGATTCGAACACACGACCACTTGGTCAAACCAGCTCTGATACCATGTCGTAAACCAGTTGGTCCCAATAACTCGAGTTGTTGGGAGAAGATTATGTTGGATCTTATACCACACTCTTACACATTGTAGTCATCCAAACTTCTCTTTCTCACTTTGGACGACCTTCCCCAAACTTCTCAAATCGACGATGGTGGGGACTTGTGGCGGTCTTCATTGTCAACTATCATTCATCGTAGCCGTCCAATGAGGGATTCCATCAGAATCTGAGTTCGTAGTGGCTCGTCATTGTACACAAGCTCTGTCACTGGTCGTCCTAGGTAAGAGAAAAGAGCAAGCGTTGGCACTTCAATTTCATGTCGTTGACGAGGGCGTCGTCGCCCTCTGCTCCTGATTACAATCCGACCGACGAAGAAGAAGAATCATCCAGTGCTCCTACTCATAATATCATCGCCGTCCATTGGATTATGGTGCAATTGGATTAAGATGTTTCTTGGAGGATGAGCGTAGGGAATAGATGTCCTCCATTACGATCGATTTTTGCTTTCGCCTTTCATATCCTTGTTGGATATCGGCTTTGCAATCGCTGACTATTCGTATCTCTTCCAGATCTGGTTCTCGATGATGGAAAGCTTCGTATCTCACTCCCCATACAGATTATCCGAGTTGGAATTAAGACCCACTACTTCTATTTTATATCAGCCCATATGCCTAAATAAGTCTTATTAATGGCCAGTGATCAAATAGCCCAATTAAGGGCCCAATAAACACAGGGATGACCCGCCACTCCCTCGACTGCCATTGACGGAATTATCACGTATGTAAGCACGCTTCTTTTTCTCCCTCCTGTTCGGCAGTCTAGTATTCTGCTAAATTGAAGATTTGTTAGTATATACTAATTAATATTCAAAATGTATGAACTAATATCCAAGTCTGCTAGCTATCTATATAACACAGACTAGTATTCAAAACATCACAAACTAGTATCCAGATAGCAGACGCCAACTAATATCCACAATCAACCAACTAGTATTCAATATGGATACTCTTATGGGTTATCTGGATACTCTTATGTGTTATCTGGATACTAATTATGTGTTGTTTGGATACTATTATGTGTTGTTTAGATATTAGTTTGTGAATTTGAGATAATAGTTGATTAATGGTGGATATCAGTTAGCAAACTTTGAATACTAGTTTGTGCTCTCTAGATACTTTAGTACTTGGATATTAGTTCATGTATTTTGGATATCAGTTAGTATCTGCTAACGAATCTTCAAGTTAGCAGATTAACTTTCCCCCTATTCGGTACCCCTAGTCCCAACATTCATTTTCATTTTCCTCTACTCCCCCCCCCCCCCCAACAAATAAGCAACATGAAACCAAAAAGATAATCTCATGGCGTGGATCCACGTATCGGTTAGGGTATAGTATCATATCCCAAAGCCGATTTAATTCATGATTTAGGTATGCATATCTCACTAGGAGTATCTGGAATATAGAATACTCGAGGAATTTACCAGTCTGACCCATTATGTCAGATATATAACTATTTATTTAATTGGTTTGTTTGATTAAAAGTGTGTGAAACCAAACCACAATAAGAAATTTACCTAAATCAAACCAATTATCTAAATTAACAAACAAAATTATCTGGAATACCACCGGTAAAATATTTACCACGATAATCATTAATCAGGCGGACGCGGTTGGCCTAATACTTGCAGAGGAATGTCTCCAGTCTCTACTGTAAGTTACAGTCTGTAACTTCGTGAACTCAGGCTGGCTCCAACCCAAGGAGCTAAAATGCTAAAAAGTCAAATTTGGCTCTTTTTCAAGCTCCAACCCACAAAAAAATGGGAAGCAAAAAATGGGTATTGGGATTTTGGAAGGGAAATTTGGCTGGGTTTTGGGGTGGGGAGTGATATTTGGCTGCCAAAAAGTGGGTTTGTTTGTCAGATGCGGAGAAGGGCGCCGGACGCGCGCCTGGGGCGCACGTCCGGCGCCCTTCTCCGCAGCTGACATGCTGTTACTTTTTTTTTTCTTTTAACTTTTGTAGTGAGGGAATTTGTTTTGCCAATTTGTTTTGGATTTTTTTTCTCTATTCTCATTGGTTGTTTGTGATTCAATTTGAAATAATTGATGTAGTGACGAAAAAACAGTCATATTTTAACGGCCATAAAAAACGGTCATATTTTAACGACTAATTTTTGAAAAAAAAATTATCTCGGAATTTAAAAAAAATTACATCGAAAAATTTGTATTCAAAACTAATAACGAGTTATGAAAAAATTAAAGTGAAATATAAAAATTAGAGGTCAAATAAGTATGGTTTATTGAAATAAATTGAAAAATGGAAATGGGAAGCTAAATTTAGCTTTTTATAGGGTTGGAGTGAAAAGTGGGTTTGGGGAGCTAAAAAGCCATATTTGACCATTTGGAGAGCTAAATTCCCCTTTATGGGTTGGAGTTAGTCTCAGCCCGAAAAACAAAAAGGCTCCCTCCAAAAAAATTCCAAACCCACCAAAAACCAAATCCCCGCCCAAGTTCCCAACCCAAAGCCGAAACCTTTCTCTTCTCTTCCGCTCTCCACTTTCCACTTACTTCCCATTGAAGCCAACCCAGCCTCCAATCGCCCTCGCTCGAGACCCGTCCCCCGGAGTCCCACATGACCGAGTCCCCATCCTCCGAACCAGAACCGCCGTCCCCTAAGCCCCGCGCCGCCGCCGCCGGCAACGGAATGAGGCTCGTCGTCCCTCTCCAGGGCGTCGTCCAGGGCAGGGGAGGCCTCATCTTGGGCTCCCTCATTCCTTGCGCTCTCTTCTACTTCTTCCAGCTCTACCTCAAGCGCCACCGCTCGCCCAAGCGGCCGCCGGCTTCCTCCTCGAACCCTCCGTCGCCGTCCGCTTCGTCTCCGAACCTCGGGGATTTGGCCCGAACCTCCTCGCGCTCCAATTTGCTCGGCCGCGGGTCGATTGGGCCGGTGCGATTGTCGTCTCGCGGGATGGCGATTGCCAAACCCAATGACTCGCCGTACTACGTCGGGTTGGAGAAGGTCGCTGGGGATCCGTTTCATCGGGTGGATAATCCGGATGGGATAATTCAGCTTGGATTGTCTGAGAATACTGTGAGTATTAATAGTTTACTACTACTCCCCAATTCTTGTTCGTACAATGTTCTTTTGTTTTTTCTTTTCCCCATTGACTTGGATTTTTTGCCGGTGGTGGTTGCAGTTGTGTTTCGATTTGATTGAGAGATGGATGAAGGAAAATTTGATGGACTCGCTAATGGGTGGTGATGGTGCTGAATTGAGTATCAATGGCATGGCCACTTACCAACCATTTGATGGGTTGATGGAGCTGAAAGTGGTATGTTAGCAGCTCTAAGCTAGTGATTCAGTACGATTTTAACATTTCCAGCGTTCATTTCTTGTCTTAGAGAGACGATAAGGACTTAATTGTGTCGTGATTATGGTACTTGTTATAGTGCAATGTTGTAAGGTAGTGGTAGTTCAATGTGAAAGTCCCCATGCTGGCAGAAGTTGGTGTTTCTCTTGGAATTCTATGACATTTGCTTGATAGCTAGTTGATAAGAACTTTGTGTGGAGGCATCTGTAGCTCTCTTCATTCACATAGTTTCCTTATTTTCCCCTTCCTTTCTGGGTCATTGCAGGCTATGGCAGATTTCATGTCTCGGGTAATGGGGAAAGGGGTTTCATTTGATCCATCGCAAATGGTTTTGATGGCTGGTGCGACTCCTGCAATCGAAATACTAACCTTCTGCATGGCGGACCATGGAAATGCATTTCTCATTCCCACCCCATACTATCCTGGGTAATTCTTCTACTCACTATCTACAATTCTGATTTCTTTGATACATGAAAACTAGAGGTGATGTTATGCAAAAAAAAAAAAAAAAGGTGGTGATGTAATCAGCATTCATTCGTATCTTTCCGCAGATTTGACAGGGATATCAAATTTCGAACAGGAGTGGAGTTAATACCAGTCCACTGCCGCAGTGCAGATAACTTCATGTTGACTGTCACTGCTCTTGATCAAGCTTACAATCAGGCAAGGAAGCGGGGCCTGAAAGTCCGAGGGATCTTAATTTCGAACCCTTCAAACCCCGTTGGCAATATACTGTCACGAGAGACGCTCAATGAATTACTGGACTTCGCACAGGAGAAGAATATCCACATTATATCCGATGAGATATTTGCTGGGTCTCTCTATGGAACCACCGAGGAATTCGTGAGCATGGCAGAAATTATTGAAGCTGAAGAATTTGATAAGGGCAGGGTTCATATTATATATGGGCTGTCAAAGGACCTTTCTCTTCCAGGATTCAGGGTTGGGGTTGTCTATTCCTACAATGAAAATATCTTGGCTGCTGCAAAAAGGCTTGCTAGGTTCTCTTCCATCTCTGCTCCAACTCAGAGGCTTTTGATCTCAATGCTTTCAGATACCAAGTTTATCGAGGAATATATCGAAACCAATAGAAGGAGGATTCGGCGGATGTATGAACTATTTGTTGGTGGTCTTGACCAGTTAGGAATCCAGTGTGCAAAGAGCAGTGGTGGTTTATACTGCTGGGCCAATATGAGCGTTCTAATAGCTTTGTATAGTGAGAAAGGGGAACTCGAATTATGGGATAAGCTGTTGAATGTTGGTAAAGTCAATGTAACTCCTGGTTCAGCCTGCCATTGTATAGAACCTGGATGGTTCAGGTGTTGTTTTACAGCTCTAGCTGAAGAAGATGTTCCACTTGTCATGGAACGGATTGGGAAAGTTGCTGAAATGTGTAAATCTGGACAATGAAATAGGATATTTTGCCTCATACTACTCATTTTGAGGTTTCTTCTGCTCTTTATGGGACCCAACCTTCAAGATCTTTCGTAGATTCATCCAAGGGAATAATAGATAGAAGTTTACAACAAATTCGTACTTGGAACGACAGGACTTTATGACTTGCATCAAGAAGCAGTATACTCCTGAAGGTTGTACTTTTTTCTTTGCATGCTTTGACATGAATTAAAGAACTCACTAGCAGTATGAAATATGGAAACCGAAACTTAAAAGGAGATTCCTTGAGTAAGTCCCCATGGAGAACTGAATGCAGGCTTCTCAGGAGCACCGGTTCAAAAGACGCAGCATTTGAAAGGTTGCCCCTTGATGAGTTCCTGCACCAAAATTGTTATGCCAGGCAAGTGCACTAGTTCTTTTCAATTCCTAGACTAACTTAATACATCTTAATATTTGCTTGTTGTAGCAAGAGAATTGGTATATATATGATAGTGGAAATGGAAGCAAGCTGAAGAGGTTTACTTACCATTGATGGATTCTGTAGCCTCATTTGAGCTGCTTTCCTCCGAACACTCCTCCTTCTGCTCATCATTATCAGCTCTCCAAGTGTTGGCGGCTTCCTTATTACAAGTGCCCCATCACTACTTCCTTGATCTACCAAATCTCTGCCGGTGAGCTCCAGCGGTGGAGTGGAAGAGCCGTTCTTCGGATCTGTATCCTCCTCACGAGACCCAGAAGCTGCTTTATATAATGGAAACAAGCATTCCAAGAACGAAGATCCCACAAGGCTTGATCTCCCAGTTGCATAGCTGCTGGTGCTGCTGTCGCTTTCATAATCTGGCGATGCTAGTGTTTCCCACTGCTCATCCATCGAGAAAGCGCTGTCGATGACTGGAACAGCAGCAGAAACTGCCGCTGATGACATCAGGCAATTCCCCAACAGAGATGGCGGTGATCTCAGGTACCAGTCATCATCAACATCCCTAGTTTCTGCTTCTGAGTACATCAGAGCTGGTGGTAAAGGAAGCACCTTTACTTGCGAAGCAAGTTTCCCCTCATCGACTGATGATGGCTGTGAGAAACGGGACAGTGGAGTTCCGGGCCTTTCTTCCCATTTAAAGGGAACCGAAGCAATGAGCTTGACTGGCGGCAATGATGGAAGTGGTGTGACCTCAGGAGGAGCAACTTCAGGCTTCCAGTCCTTTTTGGTTATTCCTGGCCTATCTTCCCAGAGAAATGGAACTGATGGTGGCTCCCTGATACGCCTTTTCTTCGATTCCATTTTCGGAGTGTAATGGGAGCTCAATTCATTGTGGTCTAGAAATGTTTCTTCTTCTTTCAGCTTTATAGAGTCACCATTAGTGGGTTAGGCACGCTTCCAGATTTACTAAATGTGTGCTTGTTTAACTGAAACACCTTTCTGGTTCTGAGTTTTAGCTTACCTGCTTTTTTTGTGAAGTTGGTGAGTCAACTGTCAAAGTGTGTGCAAGACTAAATCTTGCCCCATTCTTCTTCTCCTAAATGGGTGATGAACTGATGATGGGTAAAAGCGGGTTGCGTACTGGCCCAAAAAGCCCACCAAGATTCGTTCAGTCCGGCCCAAACATAGTCCATCGTTCTATTGGGCCCGGCCACCGACATTCGAATCCGCAAACGTGTGGAGTGTGGACGCCGGCCGTCTTCTTTATAAACCATCGCTTCAAGGTTGAAATTCAATATCCCCCAAATCAAAGCGAAGAATTTCGATCAAGAACCCAATCAAAGGAAATCGGAATCAGGTCCCGGCGACCGGCGATTCGGTAAACGACAGAGAACAGAAAGCGAGAGAATGGAGCCGCAAGGAGATACGGAGCCGTCGGCGTGCATCAAAGAGGGGTGCGTGCTGTTCGGATCGGCGGAGAAGGGCAATCTCTGCCCTAGCTGCGACCAACAACACAAGAAACGAGATCTGGACGAGACCGCCACGGCAGCGGGATCCACGATTGGGAAGCCAGTCGGCTCGAAGCGTCCGTTCTATTTCCCTCGCGATGCGACGGTCGTTCCGTTCTCCGGATTCGACGGCAGGGAGACCACCGCCGCCACCACCGGTACTAACAGAAACTCGTTCTTCAGCGGTAAATCTTGCCAAACCACCTCGTCTTCTTCGTCATCAGGTTCTAGCTTTTTCTCTAGCGTAGATAGCGGCTTCTTCCCTACTCGTGGTCGTGCTTTTGATCCGTCTGCTTTCACATTTGGATTCGGTTCCGCCACCGATACCACCACCAAGACGGTAAAGAAGGAAGAAAAGAATTGTGGTAGTTGCAGAAAGCGGGTAGGATTGCTGGGATTCAAGTGCCGGTGCAAGAAACTGTTCTGTAGCAAGCACCGGTACCCTGAGGAGCATCTTTGCTCCTTCGATTACAAGGAGTTCGGGCGCAAGATTCTTGAGCAGCAGAATCCTGTCCTCGAGTCCGATAAGCTGGAGAATCGAGTCTGAGGTAGGCCGGCGACGGGTCACAGGTAAGTTGATGAATAGGGTAATAACAGGTCAGAATCCATAGGGTAAAAAGAATGGAATTGAGGTTAGAAGGGTTTGAAGAACCATTTAAGAATCAATCGTGTCTGCATTTAGGTGTCATTCTGCGTCTGTGATTAGGGTTTCTTTCTGTTTTTTCTTTCCTTTTTTCTTTATCAATTCCTGCTTTGAGCCTGTAGCTTAGGTGTGCATTATCAGGGGTTAGAACTTTAGTGTTTGAATCCGCCATTGTTTACCTTTCTCGGGAGTCCTGCATTCATCCTTCAAAGGAGGCCGAAAAGCCGATGACAAATCAAGCCGCGGCATCTCGCTCAGGTGAACATCTGGGGAAAGGGAGAGGCTTCTGTACACTATTGTTCTCACTTCTGTTTGTGTATACTAGGTAGTAAGAGAGAGCCCCCATTGAATGTGCATTAGATAGATACTTCATTAGGGTTAGGCTGCGCATATCGATCATCATCTCTGTAAAACCATTCCTCAGCTCCCCAATTGTACACTATCTGGTCCTAATGTTACAGAGCTATGCTAATGAGGGTTCTCTTCATCTGGGTAGGACGTAAACAATTACTAGTTCTAATATGTTTGTCTCCCGTGTAAATATTCTTAGATCCGTGTTTCTCTTCGTTTAACGTTGGTTGTTGATGAAGGTATGTTTCGGCCAGGTGGTGCTTTGAAGGTGCACTTGTATATGGCTGTCTAGACTTAGCTTGGCAGATCTTATGTGCCACCATTGTTCACGATAGGAGTGGGAATGTGTCTGCCGAGTAGTGTTAAGGCAAATCATTAAAGATAGCAATTGAATTTTGGTAAGCTCTATTTGGGTAAGCTCCTTCACTCCATTTTTCGGAGGAAAGGGCAATGGTCCACGTTATAGGTCCACTTATTTAATTACCTAGATTTGGTTAGAGCTTAGAGGAGTAGATAATAGATTTAGTAGCCCAAATTACATTAATAGTGTTGCAAGTCTAGCAAAGTTTAACTTAAATATGTATGTGTATATTTAGATTGAAAAAAAAAACCATATTTCTATTATGAATAATTATCCCAGAGATGGGAATATATAATACCATTGAAATTTGAAGTAGAAGAGCAAGTGTAACACTGCTTTTATTACATACTTTAGATTACGTTAAATAAGAGCATGTATGGAGAAAATGATACGCCCCTGGGGTGTATTTTATCAAAGTAACGCAGCAAACGACTCAATCAAAGAATCGATTGAGCTCGAATCAAGAACGAAGCGTTCTTAATACGAACTTGGGATAAAACGGAACCAAAAGGACAAATCCACACCTGGGGATAGCTCGATTGGTATAAAAGGGTAGTTGCTCGACCACGATTGAAGTGACTATTCAATCGATACACAAGCTCAGCAAGTTTGGAATCCACCAAACCCAAAACAAGTCGCAACTTGCACAAACCAAACGGTTTCTTTTCTATTCAACAAAGTCTTAATTTTACAACGAAAATAGAAGACTATTTATAGCCAATAAAACCTAATACAAACCTAATGTAACTAGGAAACAATTATGGTAAAAACAAACTCTAAAAACAGTACAAAACTCGGGTTTAAAATCCCTTTCTTGAAGAGCAAGTAAGCTGCCAGCAACGGTCCAAAAGGCAGCTTTCGTACTAACTTCGCACCTTTCGTTCGAGGCCTTCCCGAACTCCAATTCTTCATCCAATTCCTTCCCTTTGTTCACAAACATACCTAGTTTCATGTTGTGGAAGCCTTTTGACTTGAATCCCATCCAGGCTCCTTGAATTGAGCTCCAAAGTAGGCTTCACAAAACAGTTTTCTGCCTTGGCCATTTTCTGGTAGTTTTCCAGTTTTAAGGTAGCAACTTTGAGGACTTGGAAAACAACCTTAATGACATCTTCTGGATCCATAAAGCATACCATTGGAAAGATAGTAACTTTATCTGCAAAACAAACCTTTAAAATTGAATTTCCACCAAGAGAATTGAGAGAACCATGCCTCCAAAGTATGTACCCTGAACACGGATTTTGACTTAGCCAAATTCTGCCCTTCTTCTTTCCAACTTTGATAGCTTCTTTGTCAACTAATTGTGACATGAATAGTTGGCCAACTTGGATCATATCAGAAAATGTATGTAGAAAATGAGAAGTTGTAGTGTATCCTTCTATAGCTATGTCTTTTATAGGCAAGGGTGGTCGAATCTCATAATGATGGGGAGAAGAGGACAGTTGGGAAAGTGAAGTCAATTGACATCCACATTTGTATATAATTTTATAATACATTTTCTTATATTTTCATTTATCAAGAGCATGTCTGGTTAAAATTTTATTAGAAAAAATCTTGTGGGATAAAAACCTAGCTAAGAAAAAGAAAAATACATGATTCTTATCTCATTAAAACCTTGACAGGAAAACTCATTGGGAAAAAACCTTAGTTTAGAAGAATAGAGTACAGTGCATAAAGTCCATCCTAATGGAGAGATCTATCAAGAGTTTGTAGTCTTCGAGCTCCAATATCTTTTCACATTATGTTGTGAAATGTAATATTGTAATAGACAAATCTGTCGGATAATCTTTTTAGAAACTTTTTAAAAACAAAAGCGTACAGACGATCATATATCTTTTCACTTTCATATATGATCATCTAGATCATTATTTGATAAGTATGAGAAATCATTGATTACTCTATCAAATAGATCATTATTTTTGGAGTGATATTCTTTATCAATTTATTTGGTGGATAATTACTCGTTCTAATCATTTGAGCATCTTTATAAAATTTGATGCACACGATTTTCTCTTGCAACTATTTGATTTGCAATTCAGGAAAAGTCTTGTTCTTTTAAGTTATCAACTTCAATAGCTTATGAATATTGTTCTAGAGTTTCAACTCATTTTATGTTTCTATATGACTTTCCACCATGAATACTTTTCTAGAGTTTCAATCTTGCATACGTATTTCATCTCAACTTCAAATTATTATTTTCACATGCATACACACTCTTATGCCGTGAAGAATTTATCAACACCCAACTACAATAGGTTTCATACTTTCTACCAATGATTCTTGGTCAAAACACATGAAGCAATCATTAAGAAATTTTTTAAGGAAATGCATTCACCTAACTCCGATTGTGTTGAGAATACGGACAAGTAAGATTATTTGTATTCTTCTATTCTCGATAAAATTTGTCGAGACTATTGCTCAATATTTGTCAATGTTTTCCCAATTTGCTTTAGGGGGATGCAATGTTCTTGAAGAACGTTTTCAAGAACTTTGGACATGTTTGCTTCGAGCAAACAAATTCCTTCAATGAGTTTTAAAATAATATCATCATCCAACATGTTTTATAAGTGCATTGTAATAGTATTCACTAGATACATATATAACTTTCTCATAGTGACAAAAAAAAAAAAAAACATATCCATCAAGTAAGCATAAGTTTTCTCATAGTCAATAGCAAATGCTTTTACGAAGATTCTTATGACAATTCGAGCACAATATCTCTTAATCTCCCACTTTTGTCTATTCTCGATAAAATTTGTCGAGACTATTACTCAATATTTGTCAATGTTTTCCCAATTTGCTTTAGGGGGATGCAATGTTCTTGAAGAACGTTTTCAAGAACTTTGGACATGTTTGCTTCGAGCAAACAAATTCCTTCAATGAGTTTTAAAATAATATCATCATCGAACATGTTTTATAAGTGCATTGTAATATTATTCACTAGATACATATAAAACTTTCTCATAGTGACAAAAAAAACATATCCATCAAATAAGCATAAGTTTTCTCACAGTCAATAGCAAATGCTTTTACGAAGATTCTTATGACAATTCGAGCACGATATCTCTTCTAATATGTCATTTATTGGTATTTCTTTCATTTTCTCAAAACAAGTATTTGTGGTTCTTCTAGACCAATATTATCATACTTGGAGATTTTAATAGGTTTATAATATTCTCATCATAAAGATAGCCTTTTTCTTAGCTCCTTTTAGAGGACTTGCAATTTATTTCGAATTTATAGCTTCAACACTTCACATATGTGTGTAACATATCCGTCGGGGGATATAATTCTTAAGAGCATTTACAGTTTTGATTTATTTAGTCACTCCTTTGTGGGACCAGTAGTTATGCCTGACAGTAGGTTTATCAACTTTGCAAATGAATTATTTTTGAATTTCACGTTCATACTACTAGTGTGAAGATCATAATTCATTTCAACCAATTTTCAAAGGTGCTTATTTCTCCCCCTCATATTGGAAACATTGATATGTTGAACAATTTACAACATGGTGCATTGATCCAATAACTTCATATTAATCACTTATAAGTGAATTCTCAATTATAATTTGCACTATAACTGATTCGGGATGGTCGAACTGGTTGTGCCAAGCAATCAATTTACAACAAACTTTAACTTTAGGTTTATGGGTTGTTTCATTACCTTTTGCTTCATGAAGAAGGAATATTTGCAAGCAGTAATTTAACACAATAACATGTATTATGCAATAGGTTAAGAATAAGGATTCCAAAGAGAACACGGTCGAAGTGGTACGACTTTTTGACCTCAATTGGAACGTCGCAAGTTCGAGCCCCATTGACTCTGAATTTCGAACCCTATTCCTTTTGGTTCACCAAAGAATGTTGTTTAATAAATCATATTACAATATATTGTAGTTATGCTTATGTCATTTTATGTGGGTTAAGTTTACGACACATTACCCTACCAATAGAAAGTTGTTGGATACAACATATAACACAATATCTCAGTATTGTCGCTTGATAATTTTGATATGTTTCTGGCATTTTGTGGGTCATGTCGACCGGCATATTACCCTACCTCTTTTATTTCTTTCAAAAATTTCAAACCAAAATCTTCTCAATATTATCCAAAACCTACCACATCAACATCCTTATCTTATCCCCTTTTAAGCTATAAAACAACAATCTTTCTCTTCTCCATTTCATTCTACTCAAACAGCAAAACTCATACATTATTTCTCAATTTCATCATTTTTCTTCCCTTCTTGGGAACTCTTATCTTCATAAGTCGCTTTGAGGATCTTATCGAGTTCAAGTGAAGCAATAGGTGAAGAAATGTCTCCCAAAGAGATCAAAGATGGATGGATTTTCCTCTTTTTTGTGGCAATTCTTTTTTTAATTGCACGCTCCTTTCAGTTAGATGATCATGACTGAAAGCGCTTTGTTGAGTAGCTAAAGAGCAAGGATCATAAGTGTGATTAGATTTCTCATATTCAATCCATGTATGGTATTATGAAAAAGGAGACTTATATCTTATTATGTATGATGTATGAATATTGTGAATAAAGTGAAGTTTAAGTACTTCCTTTGTCAATAAATCCAAACATTTACTTCCAGAAAGTTTGTGGTGTATACCATACAATTCATTATCGTATTGCGGTCCAGATATAAATTGACCACTAACTTTATTGAATCATCTTATGAATATATAACGAGTAATATTTCAGTAATCATCCTATTACATGAGCATAAAATCAAATATGGTAGATCCTACCTTGATTAAGCTCTTATGTACTTTGCTATAAAAATCTTCATGATATGATGATCTCATTTGAATGATTAATGATATAAATCAATAAAATATTTCAAAGTACAACTGATATGGTAAATTATCAACAACAAGTACGATATTTGGCCAATGTTATGTCCCTTTTGATAAAAATCAATGAACATATCTAACGTATAACTGGTACAATGACATTCTTTGCCCTTTTCAGTAACTGACAAATTAACGTTACACTTCTGGCGGATGTTATTATGGTTGGATTTTATAATCATTTTATCAATCCACATTTAGACCTCGTCTTTCTTCACATTCACTTTTGGTAATTAAATCAATAAAATTTTTCATATCCAGTTTATTCACATGTCATTTTATAAGAACCTTTTTACCACAATTTTGCTATTCTTGTGGAATATTTCCAGGAGTTTTCTATAATTCCTTTGCTATTATCTAAGCGTAATAAACAGTGTCATTGTCGTACTGGTTATACCATCAAATTTTATCAGTTCAATAATGACTCATTCACAATTATGATGATATAGGATATTTATAGCTAACATACGTAAATAACATAGTAAATTAATGCAATATCATAATTCCCTGCACATAGGAATGGGTTAGGGTGATAACTTATTTTTATGTTTTCACCGTGGCTACTTTGAGATCCGCTATCCATATTCTGCCCCACTTATCTTGTGGCCTAGACTTACCAAGGGCAAATTTGGGAGCTTCACACAGGATCCAGAACCACCCCTATTCCTTCTGTCTCTTCACTTTCCTTTCCTACTCTCACTGCAGGTAGCGCCCCAATGATCATTGTTCTCCATCCACTTGTCCCAGGCATCGCAAGTAAAAACGGGCGTACCCCCATTCTCATCGAGGACCACTTCAGCCGGTGAACCATGACATCTTCTCCAACCGAGTTTCGTTCTTCACTCACCGGCGGAGTCCGTCCTCTCCATTCCTATATCTCGTCGTTTCCAGTGGGGCGATGTTGTCTTTTCTCTCCAGTGACGGTGTCTTTCTCTCCAGGACGGTAACTATTTGTTTCTCGATTGTGAATCGACAAGGGTTTCAGTGACTCCCTTTTGACTCCTCTAACGTCTCCCACTCTTTTCCCTTTCCTTCGTCAGCGCATCTCGCCGGTGAGGGACTGGCCAAATCATATCAATAGTAATCCAACCAATACAATTTCATTCAATACCAATCCTATCAGTAACAATCTAACCAATACCAATCCAACCAATACCATTACACTCAATACCAATCCTATCGGTACCAATCTAACCAATACCAACGTCGATTTGCATGGCCATTTCATCGTCCCCCTCTCCTGATTCGTCACTTCCTCCAAAGAACCCTTCCATCACTTCACTTCTTTCCTCTGCCACATCCGCCGACGAACTCCATTTTCCCCCTTGCCAGGCGTTTACACTTCCAAATCCTTTTCCTACCTTCTATCTTGGTATAACAGAACCCTACGGTGGTTAATTGTACCTCCTTATAATTAGTTTCCATAATTATCTCTCACTAATTATTTGCGTAATTAAAATGGTAGTTTGAATCATAATGGAAGCTAAATACCCTTTTTTATCCCTAGTAGCCACGGTGGTTACTAACACTAAGTAATCACCGTAACCCCTCCATGCAAACATACGTACATAGCATACATATTATCATATACTATCTGAGCCTACAAGTATAACTTAGAAAGTGAATGCTAAATAATTCATTATGCAAAAATGATTGCAACAAATTATTATTTGTATCTTTTATCCTATTATCAACAAAATAATAATTCATTCATAGAATTTATATTTATTTATAGTATGCATGTGGACTCTGCATCTCAATGCAGTAGTGCATTTATATTATATGCACGAAATATCTACGTGCTGGTATAATAATAATTTTTTTCACAATCATGCACAATCGTTATAAATTATTGATAGGATGGAATACTGAGTTACTATAATTACCTCAAAATCGATGAATCATGTTTCTTGATATTGTGTTGACTAACACCATTCCTTTGATAAAACTTCTACTTCTCTATAGCCGTAGATTAACTGGATTTCAGGCAAACTAAACTTTAATGTTAGTGGTAAAAACTTATACTTCGGGAGGTCTCTGATCGATAGGATCTTAGGCTGTAAAACCTACATACTAATGATAAGAACTCTATTGCCATAGTAGCCTTAGATCGTCAAGATCTTTAAGATGTATAATAATCGTAATAATGGTAAAAACTTCCGCTTTCTAATATCCTTAGGTCGTCAGGATCTAATTGAATAGATATAACAATCTAATAATGATGAAAGCTTCTACTCCTGGAGTCGACCCAGATCGACTGGATCTTGAGTAAGTAGAACAATCGTGATAATAATAAACATTTATACTTTCACATTACCTCAGATCTATAGGATCTTGAGTACATAAAACAATAGTTATAATGGTAAAAAAACTCTCACTACTAAAGCTGTCTCGGTATTTGCTAGAATTGTTGGAACTTTTCCCTATAGGGCATGGTTCTCCTTTACATGGCATTCGATCGTTGGTTTGGTATTTGCTAGAATTTAGTTGACCTTTTCTTGCTGAAGACCTCAACTTTGACCTGAGGGCAAGACTGATTTTCAGAAAACAATCAATTATTTAGGGCATGGTTTATCTCTTACAATAACTTTGAGCTGGGAAAAGGCATACGTAGGTTACTAAGTTTAAAATAGCTGCATTGAAATGCTGCTTTGAATTGGTTACTTCCATGTTAAGTTTGTTGGAGATTTGCATGTACCTTCTGGTGAAGCTATCTCAAAATTTGAAGTCCTTGTTTTTTAGCTATTACTAAATACTAATATGATTTAAATTGTGACTGCACCTAGTACCCTGTTCAATGGATAAAGCCTTTCCATACTCTTGAAAACTTATAAGGCAAAATACACTTGTATAGCAATAACTTTCACGTTTTTGACAAACAAAGCCACATCTATTCGAAAACACGAAATAGCCAAGAAAATGGATGGCCGTGTGACAAATCTAGCCATTTCCGTTAGAAACTTTAACGGTGTTAGAAACTCCGTTAGTTAGGTTAACATTACGCTGACTAGGATCCCAAATCATCACACACGTCAGCGACCAGTCAGCGTATCATTGCCACGTCATTTTAAATTATTTAAATAATTAATTTTGAAATATTAAAATAATTAATTTTGAAATAAAAAAATTCACTAATTTTCCCCCTTCCCTACCGATTCAACTAGCATCAACCCCAGACACTCCCCACCGCCTGCTACCCAAACCCATTGTTCACCAGAAAACCCCAAAAAATTACCCCTATTCTTTTAACTAAAGTCTAAAACCCTTATAATAAGCTCAAATCCCCTTCCTCATCCAAATCCACCAATTTATTATGTTAGCCAACAGAGTAGTGGTGGAGTCGTTGATCCAGAGAGGAGAATCTCTCGCCGGCAGCGTCAATAATATTGGAATCAAGAATTGGGGTTTGGTCTTCTTTCCTGCCGTTTTAGTCCCTTCCTTTCCTGCTACCCAGTCGGCGTATCTGAAGGCTACATCGATGATGTCCGATCCTTACCTGCCGCTGACCTCTTTGATCTCATGAACGCGTTCCTCGAAAGAGAATACAGGATCACAACGAGAAACAACAGTCCCAATCTTTTGCGACAACAACGACGCTGGATCTCGTCTGAATCGCAACATGTGTAGCCTTCGGAAGATGGGATCGAAAGCCCTCCAATGCTATCGATGAAGAATATTTGTTATGTAATTGAAATCCTACTTCAAGTCTTGATTCGCAGTCCCATTGTTGGTAGGGGAAGAAGGCCTGTGGAGTAGTTGCATCCGCCGCCGTCGCTGCCGTGGGCTTTGGATTGGAACGACGATTAAGAAGTGGGATTTAACTGTGGGGACGTATCTGGCAGAGAGGAGGTGGCCGTGGGTTCTCAAGATTTCGACGGCTTCCGCTGGGGAAGAGGCGACGAGCTGGTGGCCCAGCCGGAGGTGGTGGTCGGTTCTTGGATGACGACGAGGATGTTGATAGGATTTTGATAGTCTCGTGGTCGGAGGAAGAGAGGTGAAGAGGGAAAGAAAAACGAAGGGATAAGAAAGAATGGACGAGTCACGAGTGGTGGTGGGCAGCTGGGTCACTTTCATCTTATTTATTTATTTTTTTTATTTTCCACGTCTGATTTCCACGTCGGAAGGTAGGGTAACTCAGTGGCCAACTCAGCGCAAGCCGTTAGTACAGTCATAACGTCTACTAACACCGTTACCAAAATGGACGGAATTGGCTATTTGTGGTTTTCGAATAGAAATGACTATATTTGTCAAAAGTGTGAAAGTTATAGCTCTACAGGTATATTTTGCCAACTTATAATGTATAGTATAGGAATCTGGAATGATTGAATGGTACTATAATTACCATTAAGCTGTTATGGACATGATTCACTTTATAACCAACTCGTTCACTGCAGTGCCTATATGAAGCTATAAAGGGAGAAAATGTTCAGTTGTTGGACTTGATGTGTGAAGCCCTTGATCCTAAAGGGCCTTTTGGTTCTCAATTTGATAATGGTGGATCCAGAGTGCTACCGAGAGATAATTCCATGAGCCAAAAGTCTCATAGTTTAGAAAATAATAAAAGTTTGATTAATCGAGCGATCCGTAGGGTGAAGGAACTCCCAGCAAACCAGCTTCTTGTACTGATGAAGGCTTGGGAAAAACACACGGTTGATGTTCCTGAGCTTCATTCTGAAGTGAAGGCCTTGGTGCTATCTGTGTTGAAGTTGGAGGAGGATGGGGAAAGTTTGAATCAGAATAAGGTTGAAATGACCAATACCAGGAGACAAGCATTAAGAGGCAACTTAAATGCTGCTGATAAGAACTCGAGAGTGGCATATGAGAAAGCTAGCCTTTCATCACGTTTCCACATGTTAACTCTAACAACCAGAAGTCATATTACCAGTTAAGCCATGGAGGTATTTCAGCGGTGCTTTTCTTGATCTTAAGCAAACGATTGCAGGTTCCATCGTATGTACCTCGCAGTTCCTCGTACCTGGGAATTGGAGTAGGCCAACAGGAGACCTTAGGTTGGAAGGGCTTCCAATAAGGACAATGAGCACCAAAGAACTCCACCTCTCCCGTCCCCAAATCCATAGACAAGACATCTGCATCTTTATTTCGAGAATCAAGGTAATTCAAGAAGACAATTTCGAGCCTTTGTGGATGCAAGTAGACTCTAAACAATCGCTCAAGCTCATAATTACACCAACACAATAACGTTGTATTCTTCAAAAACACCTCATGTAATTTCCTCCAAGAATATTCATTGTCTTCTTCTTCTTCCAGTCTCCAAACACTCAAAGCATTCCTCGAACAATCGAAAAATTCCGATTCCAAAAGAACCATATGCAAAGCGCCTTGTAAAACTGAAATCTCATATGCAGCTTGTCTCGGTATGGAAGCACCCGGTATGGAAGTACAAACACGACTAGGATGTATATCAAGGCGGAAAGGATTAAACACATCTAGTGCTAGAGGAGATTTGAACCCAAACTGGGGTTCTGCATAGAAAAATAGCTTCCCATTGCATGAAACCACTCTCTTGAACACAGTGTTCTTCAGAACAAGAGTCTCCTTGGTACACTCGCCCGACTCGGAACAAAACACGTCTAGTCCTTCACCCCCGTTCGTCATTTGACACCTAAATACTACCCGGAAACGATATGAAGAATAATCGACTGCTGCTCGGCCGTCTCCTAGATCAAGACTAATAGAATGAACGTGTTCACAAACTAACCTTGGAGTGAGCCTCACAATCCCACTTGACCTCTTAGGCGCCAAAGGAAGCGCGATCCATTGTTTCATGAATGGATTGCAGACGAAGTAAAATCTCCCCACTCCTTCACCTTCTTCGGGAAACCCTGCTGCCCAAAACCCGCACAAGAGCAAGTCTTTGAAGGAATCGAAGACTCTGAAATACGGCCCAACTTCGTCCGGAACGGGAAGGAAACTGAGGCAGTGGTGGCGGAATATCGACCGTGATGGCCTAACAAGTAAAGGCGGTTCTACTTTGTCGTTGATGCTCTTGTAGTGAGAGACGTAACGACGGTTGAATATGATGGGATCGGAGATTAAGGAGCGCCACCGCCTGCAGACGAGCTTGCAGCGGCAGGCGGGCTTAGGGTTTGGGAAGCTGCGAATGAGAATTTCGGCGAGGAGATCGTCTCCTAGTTTGTTGATCGTCGTCATCGTGGGCGGAGGAGGAGGAGGAGGCAGAAGGGTTTTCCTTGCTTGTGCATTGACGGCGACCGGGAAAACCCTAATGCATGCTTTATTTATACGTGCGGCTGGTGTTTAGGTTCGCCCATTGATTAGGATTATGACCGACTTTTACAGAACGGCATCGTTTACCCCTTTTCATGTCGTCTTGAATTGCAGTAAGCTGGGTATCTAAATGGAGGATTTTTACAATGTAATGTTCTATAACATTGAATATTGATGTTTTGGTATACAAATATATAATTTTATGTTACAAACGAAACTTGTACTTTTATAAAACTCGATAATCATTCTCCATAAAATGTAATTGGATAACAGAGTAAACTCGTCAATTAGATAGATAAAACAAAGACGTCATTTATCTTTACTGTCATTTTAAATTACGTTTTTCCATTTCCATTTCTACTGTTTTGAAATCTGAACTACACAATTCTAGTTTGGGTATTAAACACAAGCAGAGAGATCCCCTGCTCTTTGCGCGTTCCCCCCATTTCTCGTATCGTCTTCTTCTTCCGCTTAACCCTAGCTTGAGCTAGTTTGATATGGTATCAGTGCGGTTACTGATCTAGATCCAGTGACCTTTGATAACACCTAAATTAGGGTTATTTATCCTTCATATTTAGACTTGTTTCGTGCCAATTCATGAACATAAACGCTTAAACATCGTCAATTGCATCTCAATTCCGTTCTTATATGAATTCGATGTGATTTTAGGATGTATTAGACGATATGTGCGAATTAGGTACAAAACAAGCTCACAAGTGTAGCAAAGGGAGCAGGAACTGAAGATCGTGGCCTAAAAACTAAAGATCACGGGCGGGATCGTTGACCACAAACTCAAGCTTAAGATCACGGCCTGGAAGCCCAAGATCGCGACCACGAATTAAAGGGCTCAGAGCGCGAACTTCACGAAGAAGGAGCCAAAGAAAAACATAAAGTTTCCCCATCGAATCACGACCATAACAGAAATACAAGTTTTGTACAAAACTTGAGATTGGTATAATATGCCCATATGCGACCTTGCATTTACCTTTTGTACCTCTATAATTTTTCGTACCTCAATCTTTGTACAAAGCTTGAGATTGGTATAATATGCCCATATGCGACCTTGCATTTACCTTTTCATATTCTCCAAAAACAGAAATTCGATGAAGACCACATCAGTACTCATGTAAGTATGATGGGGAGAAGAAAAGATTTCTCCATGCTAGTTGGGCTGAATATAATTGGTCCGACTTGTCATTTTTGTGACACCGTGGATTCGAGTTATATATGATGCACTTAAGTATAAAATAGAGTGGGTAAGTTGCAAGTTTGGTTGATAGGATTACTACACGTTTGGTCATTAGAATTATTTAATTTCGTTCATAGTCACTAAAATTACTTAAATATTATAAGTTTGGTCACTTTTTGTTAACTTTTGTTAGTCTCACGTTAACGATGTTAGTTTTTTGCTGACGTGACAAACAAAACTGCCGATCTGCCCTTCACTCCCGCCTTCCTGGAATTTTAATTTGAAACCCTCTCCCAAATCCATTTCCCTGTTTCACCCTCACCCTTGAAAAATAACCCACGTAAAAAACCATCTTCGTAGCCTAAAGTCTGCTGCCTCAAGTGCATTTCTATCGGTCGTTGAATCCAAAAACCTCACCTGCTATCTAAGGGCGATGGCGACTTTATCCTTCCTTGGAGACCAAATCCCCAAATCGCCACCTAGTTGAGACGGTTGTTGGTCGAGTTATGAGGCCGACGACTCGCCTCCTCCCCTTAGTTCCATTAGAACCTTCGCAATCGTCATTAATCTAGACGGAGGAGACCAGCGAGAGGAAATCAGAACAAAGGAGGAATGCGACGAACAAGATGAAAGAGGTTGTTCCCATGATGACAACAAAACCCGAACCCACGGGTACCCTAGCCGACCCAACCCAGTCAACGTGGGTAAAATTCGTGTTGACGGGTTTTGGACGGGTTCGGGTTTAAACTCGCTACACTATTTATCGGGTTGGGTTTGAATTTAGGTAAATACGCCCCATGGGTACCCGCCCAGTCCCATTACCCATATAATTAATTTTTCATGGTTATTTAATATTCTAAGCAATATATCTTCCTTAAACAACTAATCTTGTTTATGTTTGTGGAGAAATGTCTAATTTGTTCTTTCTAATTGTGTACAATGAAGTTGATATTATGGAGTGGAGAGTGAAGAAGTTTAGTTAACAAGGAGGAAGGAGCTTTCAATTAATCATGTTGTTTATAAATGTTTATCTTTAATTTTGAAACAATTTGTATTGATAATTTGTGGTTTGCTTGTATGCTCTAAATTGGTGTTTTTTGTATGGATAATTTTTATGAGAAAATTAATGTTAGACTTTTATTTTGAAAGAAACTTGTTATTGTAAATTTTTTACCACAAGAATCCACGAGTACCCATGAACCCATGGATACCCAGCGGGTTGGGTTGGATTGGGTTTGATTTTTTCAAGTCCGACGTATTTTACCCCCGATTTTTTTGGCGGATAAACCCACGGGTTTGGATTTGGCAAAACCCGCCCCAATCCGCCCCATTGCCATCCCTAGTTGTTACTTGTTCTTTGTCGCCGTTTGCAAGAAAAAGGACGAGGCAAGGCCGCAAGAGAGATCGAAACCCGGTCTTCTTCTTTTCTTTCTTTCTGGCCGTGGTGAGGTGGGATCCAATCCATCTATCGTCAAAGCAATGCTCCTCTCTCTCGTTCAGTCCTTATGTTCTTCGTCTTTATCCTCATCATCACCGACCTTCAAATCCAAGTCCGCGCTTCCATCTTCCAAACACTCGGAAACCCCCCCGTCACCTTCTTCGTCTCACAAGGAACCGAAAACCGCTGTTTCCCCATTTCAACCCCGACCACACCCTGAAGCAATCACACTCCCATTCTCTAGGTTGACAGGGTTTGCATCCTCTATGCTCTCTTAAAGATCTATTTAGCTGGATTCAAGCCTCCCCCTTCAATCGCCTATGCGAGAGGAAAGAAGAAACGATGGGATGAAGATGACGATTGAGGAGGACGGCAAAACGAAGAGATTCAGAAACACTATTTTGTTGCTTTGTGGCTTTAACGACGTATCAAGTTCTAATGATGTTGCTTTGCGGTTTTAACAGAGAGTGACCAAATTTGAAATATTTAATTAATTTTAATGATTATTATCAAAATTAAATATTTTTAGTGAAAAAACATGAAACTTTTTAATAATCTATGTGACTGGCCTTATTTTAATTTTTACGGTATATAATTGGAATTTAGTGAAATTTAATTTGGTATTAAATAATTAAATGGCTAGAAATTGTAAAAAAAAAAAAAAAAAAAACTTGAGCCGATCATATGCCGGCCCAGACAGGGCCAAAGAGGATATGGCCGGGCCGAATCAGGCTGAATGTTTGACCCTACAGAGCTGGATTTTTAGGGTAGTGACTGGGCCAGGGTTGGGTTCGGCCCAGTTTCACCCTTCATACTAATTCGCTGTCGGTCCCTCTAATTGGCGGGAGAAGTCAGAAGTGGGAGCATTGAAACGCGGGAAGTTCACTCTGCGGTTGCCTTCGTCTCTGCGAGGTGTGAGTGGCTTCTTGACGGCAAGCAAAACAAAGGGTTGAAGTTGAAGCGCAAAAAAACTGAGTCGGGTCTGGTTCCAACACACCTCGCATTGGGTTCCTGCCACCGTGGTGGAGCTACTTCAGGTTTCACCGTTTCAGAGTTCACTCCCGCCGGCAAACTCCTAGTCCCCTCAGGTATCGTCTTCTTCCTCAGCTTCCTGTTAATAAACGATTGGCAAAAGCAGCAATATTCCTTTCCAATTGGAAACGCTTCTTGTTCGATTATGTCGAAATGGTGAATCCCTGAAGTTTATTTTTCGTGGGGGTGGAAATTTAGCTGTGAATCATGTCGACTTGATGCATTTAGTGAAAAACAGTATGTTGAGAGGATTGAACAAGTTCCCGGGTCTGATCCTAACAACGAAGCTCTTTCATGGCTGTAGGTTCGTCTTCTAAAGGTTTGCACTTACACTGCTGCTGCTGCATGGAGGTGAGTTTTGTGCTTTTCATTGTTAAATTGTGGGTTACAGTAAATATCTTTTAGGTTTTGGAGAGGAGATGCTACCCAAATTTTCTAACCCTAATCATTGGGCGGAGTCATGTCTAAGCTAGACTTTCTGATCCCCTTTTAACAACTTAAAATATGATCTGAACTATTGGTTAACAGTGGGAGCAAGACTAAACTTGATACTTCTTTCATAGCACCCTTAGTGCCTCGTTCTTCCTTTATTTCTATATTTAATATCCTCCATGTTTTTGTCAGCCTTTTACCATTCTTCACAAAGCGTCATCTCGCAAAACCGACAAAATATCAACTGGAACAGGGAAAAGCAGAACCACGAGGCGGATTGACTTAACTGCTTCGTTGCCTGCTAGCACAGACATTTCAGATGTAAATGCTGCAGAATCCAATGAACGTCATTATTCTAATATGCGGATGGAAGCATTTGAGGCTGTTTGGTCTATCACTGAATCGTCCATCAAGGTACGTGTTTTTGTTCTACCCCTTCTTCAGTTGTAAAGCTCCTCTTGTTTCTCAACGATGGGGGAAGGAAACAATGTGATTACATCTTCATATGCTTCTTGCTCACTGCATTTTCTTCACTGTTTTGTTTCCATCATAGCATAAATGATAATCTGACATGTTTCTCAGGATGTCTTGAGAGAAGCTAATGCAACCATATTCAGTGAAATACATGAGTGGGTTCGTGATTCATTTGACACAATTGTCTCATTTGGGGTTCCAAACTTTCATGAAGCAACGCAGCCTTTTCCAGTTGTGAAAGATGCCACATCTAAAAAAATCTTTACTGGATTGGTTTTAACCAGTGAGTACTCTAAGGTTTGCAATTGTTAACTTTCTATGGCTTCAAGAGCAGAAAATATTATTTTTGTTCTCATTTTTTTTTTTTGCATCTGCGCATTTCACTTAAGAGGTAACGTCAAAAGCTTAACTACAGTTTGCACACAAACCCTTGTGTTCTTTGAGAGAGAATTTGGCAATGGTGACAAGGCACTTATTGTTGCTTGTGTCTGATGATAAATACGAACTCAAGTATTTTGCATTTGTGTTCTCGCTGTGAGCACTATTTTAGTTTCTGTTGCTTGTTTGTTTACTTTGACATTGCTTAATTGGTGAGGACCACATGCATAAGGACTTCTTTTATGATAGATGATTTATTAGTCAATAATTAACAGGGAATCTCGAATTTGTCGATGATTTGATGACGTTTGAAGATCTTAAACAACATTTGAAGTCTCAAGGATGCCATGTGGCTAACCTTTCATCAGTGGATTTTTCTTCAAGAAACGGTGTTGGCACTTGTCTAAGAAGCTTGTTGGGACAGTTCTTAACGGGCTCACTGGATGTAAGAGGGTCTACTGTGTTATTTACAAGTTATTGGGTTTTCATAATTTCTTTCTAAGCATGGGGCTTCTACTGCTTGTATTCAGACGGCTGATATATCCATGTTAGCAACATGGTACAAAGAGCAACAAAACAATGACAATCCCGTGGTCATAATTATCGATGATATGGAGCGCTGTTGTGCATCCATTTTATCAGAGTTTATTCACATGTTAAGGTAAATAGGTTCTGTTTTTCCTTCTCTATGTGCTCAGATTCTTTTGCCTTTATTTGCCACAGAAATAAGGTTTTAGTCACTCATAAAGACACCCAGAAACGCAGATACACAATAAGGTATATCGTATATGTTAACCCTTTGAGACTCCGGTTTCACTACCTTGACATTTTACCTCCGTTCCTCTCAGTGAATGGGTACTAAAGGTCCCTGTCATTTTAATAATGGGAGTTGCAACAACCGTTGATGCCCCAAGAAATGTGCTTCCTTCGAATGCACTACATCGCTTGCATGCTCGCAAGTTTACCTTTCAGAGTTTGCCAGAAAAAATGAATTACGTTGTTGAGACTGCCTTCCTGAAGCAATCTTCTGAGTTCACCATAAGTCACAAGACTGCTGTTTTTATGAGAAATTACTTCGCACACCATAATGGATCAGTTACATCATTCATAAGAGCTCTAAAGGTTAGAAACGCAAATTGATTCACGTTCCCTCCTATTATTTAGTGTTATTTGCAGTACTTTCTTCTATGAATGGGCCAATGTCTAAAATGGTGCTGGTTTTTATGAAGATAGCATGTGCCCAACATTTCTCAACACAGCCTCTATGCTTCATACTCCACTGGTGTCTTCGTGACGAGGACAATGAGGTATCTTAGTCGATCTGTGGTTTACGTTCACCAACATAAGGCAGTATGGTTTAGTAGTTTACTTGAATCCATGGATCAAGAATGTTGTTGTACAAAATTATCAATGAAATATATACTACCAACTTTTCCTAATATGTAGGAATATCAGGCTCCATTACCATGTAATATGAAAAGAATGGTATTATTGTGCTGGCATAGTCCTTTACGGTTATGCCTTGCACTTAGAAGAAGCAGATTCATAGAAAACCTTTACCTTTAACATTTAATCCTTATATTCAGCATCTTTTGTGCATTATAATACAAATCCCTAGATTTTTGCTGTTATTCCTAAAAGCAACTGACCAAGAGTACAGCATCTAGCTTATTTCCCTCATCTGGTAGATTCATTCTCTATGCAAGACAGAACATGATTCTATGTGTTTGTGGTTTGTATACGTCTTTAACTTCCTGTCTCTGCCTTCTGTTCGGTTTTCACAAGGTTCCACAAAGCCATACATATGGATTATCACAAGAAAGGATGCTCAAGCTTGCTTGTGACCTTCCATCTTGGAAGAGGTAAATCTGAAGTATCACTCTATTTTTCTTCTAGTTTTTCACTCATTCAAGTCACGAAATTGACGGAATACTTGGATTTCAAAATGCAGCACTAGCAATCAAATAACTCAACTTAGTGGAGAAACTTTGCTTGATGGGTTAACACAATTGAAGAAACTTCACAAAACTTGGAGAATGGTTGTTTTGGTATGGCCTCAAACTTCACATTTCTATTATCTAGCACATTTTAGTGAAAAATTGTTGAAACTTTTCCCTATAGGGCATGGTTCTCCTTTACATGGCATTCGATCGTTGGTTTGGTATTTGCTAGAATTTAGTTGACCTTTTCTTCGCTGAAGACCTCAACTTTGACCTGAGGGCAAGACTGATTTTCAGAAAACAATCAATTATTTAGGGCATGGTTTATCTCTTACAATAACTTTGAGCTGGGAAAAGGCATACGTAGGTTACTAAGTTTAAAATAGCTGCATTGAAATGCTGCTTTGAATTGGTTACTTCCATGTTAAGTTTGTTGGAGATTTGCATGTACCTTCTGGTGAAGCTATCTCAAAATTTGAAGTCCTTGTTTTTTAGCTATTACTAAATACTAATATGATATCTTTTGACAAAAAAAAAAAAGAGTAATTTTAACTCTGTTAGTTGTCTCACTAAAAGTTTGCATTATGATTTAAATTGTGACTGCACCTAGTACCCTGTTCAATGGATGAAGCCTTTCCATACTCTTGAAAACTTATAATGTATAGTACAGGAATCTGGAATGATTGAATGGTACTATAATTACCATTAAGCTGTTATGGACATGATTCACTTTATAACCAACTCGTTCACTGCAGTGCCTATATGAAGCTATAAAGGGAGAAAATGTTCAGTTGTTGGACTTGATGTGTGAAGCCCTTGATCCTAAAGGGCCTTTTGGCTCTCAATTTGATAATGGATCCAGAGTGCTACCGAGAGATAATTCCATGAGCCAAAAGTCTCATAGTTTAGAAAAGAATAAAAGTTTGATTAATCGAGCGATCCGTAGGGTGAAGGAACTCCCAGCAAACCAGCTTCTTGTGCTGATGAAGGCTTGGGAAAAACACACGGTTGATGTTCCTGAGCTTCATTCTGAAGTGAAGGCCTTGGTGCTATCTGTGTTGAAGTTGGAGGAGGATGGGGAAAGTTTGAATCAGAATAAGGTTGAAATGACCAATACCAGGAGACAAGCATTAAGAGGCAACTTAAATGCTGCTGATAAGAACTCGAGAGTGGCATATGAGAAAGCTAGCAACCTAGTGGATTCAATGGTCAGGAAATATGTGTGCCCGGTCGAGTGTGTGGCTCTACATGAAGTGTTGTGCTTTGACAGTGTTGATAAACTACAAGCGGCTTTAATTGGTGATACAAGAAGACGAATCCAGATTGATCTTCAGGAGTTCCACGCTATAATCCGGTGCAGTTGCTGTAGCAAGAGAGGCAGTACCATTTTGCCATCAATGCCGGATTCCTCGATTATGTAAGTCTACTTGCTTGCTTCCATACGTTGCTGTCCTTTTTCCTTCTCTTTTGTATTAAGGGGATTTAGATATGGACACTATTACTGCTTCCGAGCAATTAATCGACCAGGGGGGAGAAATTGCCTGCAGTAGTGGGTGTCAACAGTTGTAGGTAATCGCTGTTGCATGATCATTTCCTTGAAAATGTTATCTTATTTATTCACTGATGCATTAGGCAACAGTCAGGAGAAGTGTTGGGCGATCTAGATTTGGGCTGTAAGGGGAGCTTTTTCAACCTGGTAGTTGGTATCTGTCTGAAACCATGAGTTGGGAGTGAATTCGGGTTGTATTCCAAATTACACCATGCATATCAGGAAGTGAGATCGAGTCATGATTTGTAGAAAATGTTGCCGTGCCCGAGTTCTGCTCACCATAGCTTATGTGGCTTATGATCGTTGCTTGTGTCTGCCTTTGTTCAACTGGTGTTGTTGGTTAGGTACACTTTGGCTCAGGAGCATGGTGATGTGGTTAATGTGCATGACTGGTATCAGTCGTTTAAATCTGTAGTTCTTTCCACGCATATGGTTAGCAAGAGAGGTAAGTCGAGGTCAAAGCAACACCCCCCGACGCCAAAGAAAAGGAAGACAACGAATGAACTTTCAGAGCCAAGTGAAGCGTCCATCCAGTATCCTTGTCCTTGCTCTCTCCTCGTCGCGTTTTCACTGTTCTGTAGATTGTCGTTATTGTTTATTAATGATGGAGCAGTTGAGTTGAAATGGAAGACCCTTAAAACTTGATACACAGAGCACGATTCTGCAAGGCCATAGTGGAGCTTCAAGTTACAGGGCTTGTTCGTATGCCCAACAGAAGGCGCCCAGATTACTTGCAGCGGCTTGCTTTCGGGTCGTAAGCTGCTGCTGCTTGGCCGTAGAAAGGAGTGATTTCGGTGACGAATGAATCTGACATTCCATCTTGGATACAAGGTTAGCATAAGCTGCCAGTAAGTTGAACGAGAAGCTATTGAGAGATGCAACCTTCATTGGTCAATGGTTCAGACTAGTTTGTAAAAGTTCGTGTATTCCTGGTTCCAACCTTAATTAAACAGTGACAGCAACCCGAAAAGCCTCTCTTTCCCATATCAGGCATCTTGGTCTTTGATGGCTGTACAATTTACCGTTTGCAGAGTCCTACATTCTAAATAACTACCACCTAAAGCACCCTAGACTATGTTAGCGAACTAACGATTTGGCCCCAATAACTCGAGTTGTTGGGAAAGAGACAGTTAAGCCTTTTAACCTATTATAAACGATGCTGGAGATGCTCTCGAGGGGGACTACTGGAAGATATTCCTTTGTGAATCAAGCAGAGGTATTGAGTGAGTTTGTTTTAGCTTTTCATCAAAACTAAGTGACCTTTTTAAGAAGGTTTAGTAGAAATGGAGCTGAAGGGTGTTTGGTTTTGTTCTAGGGAACGTTTAATCGACTGGATATGAGATATTTTAGCAACAGAAAGAAAGTAACCATGGGGCTGCAGAGAAGGAAAGGAAGCACAAAACTTACTGCGTATAACCATACAGACTTGTGGAAGAACAAAGCTCAGAAAAAGCAAACATGGTAAACCAATTATTGTGGTCCAGAGTGAGTAGCCTAGTCCTTTGCATTCAAGCATAAATTCAATAAATTTGAAAGTTAGAACAGAAAGAGAGGAGGGATGAACATCTGAGACCTGCTATCTATAGGAACTGAATAGTGGTTCAAAGCCAACGCCAAGAAGCTGACTGTAAAAATAATTTCATGTCAGCGAATACTCCACAATCAGAACTTTTTAAAGCCGAATGAAACCAGAATTCACCTGACTGTAATAAATAATGAATGGAATTTCTGCAAATGACAAGAACACCTCCAATTGGCAACGGTATGGCAAGTAGCTTGTAAGTATCATGTGGAAGATTCTACACATTCAAGTCTCGATAGGAAGTCCAGAAGATCATTTTTGAACGTGATCAAAAGGCTATGCCAAAAATGAGAAACTGCCTTCTAGCACAAACAGATCATTTTTGAACGTGATCAAAAGGCTATGCCAAAAATGAGAAACTGCCTTCTAGCACAAACAGGTTGCAAAAAAAAAAAAAAAAAAAAAAAACCAGTTTTTGTAGCAACTTCGAGCCTTTTGTTTGAAGCCTTCCCGATATTCAATCTGTCATCCAATGCTTTGCCTTTGTAGACAAACATACCTACTTTCACGTGTAGAGGACACTCCAGCTTCAAAACAAGCCATTAATCTCCAATTTTCATCGAGCCAATTGTAAGATATGAACTTCCAAAGTAGGTACCATGGAACTGTTTTTACACTGAAACAACAAATTAGTTCGACCTTATCCTAACTGAGGTCGACCGAAAAGTGTAAGTTACAATGAATTACAAGGTACCATAGGCGCACCCTAACTTTTTTTATTTTTATTTTTATAGTAAACGATGAGCTATTTTCAGATTTTGTAAAGTTCCGAAGTCGATCAGATTCGACGAGTCGACGAGCAAAGGTGGTATCTTTCCCGTCAAGTTATTGTTAATCTTGATTCACAATCTTCGACAATGACCTGAACTCCGAGGGATCCTCCCCTGTAAGTTATTGAAGAATAATCTAATGATCTTGAGCTAGGAGCACTGGAAATCTTTGTGTTTTAAACAATTTCAGGCGCCTCAAAGACCTCTTTATCTATCACAGAACAGAAGTCCTGGAGGGGCTAACACGAATATGGACATATGGTTGATGTATCCGACTAATGTATTCGAGAAAGATGTTAAAAGGCCAAACTATAATTTCCTGGAATAGAGATAATAGAGTGTCTATTCAGAGCATCCTACGCTACAAACTGTAAAACCTTGGGAACGATACAAATTCAAATTGTACAGCACAGCAATGGTTTTTGTCATGGCATCAAACGACCCTAAGGAGTATATTTGAGAGGTACATTCCTTCTGGGTAGGATGGGTCGACCGGGTGGTCAGATGCTGCTCCAGCCTGGCGGACAATGGTAATCTTCTTCCCAGCCGTCAACGCAGCACCCTGGTGGAAATGTAAGAATCGAGATTTGAGTGAGCCAAAATTGCTGGCCATGAACATATTAGACCTTAAAACTCGCTAGTTATAGGACCAGGAACTAAAGTAATTGATGCATCTCTAAGAGTGGGTGGTTTGAACGCATCAAGATAAACAACAGGGGGTACTTGCCTGGAGTATGCGCATGAACGTTCCACTTTGCGTCATAGCTCCTGAACACGAACACGTCATGAGAAGACCACCTCTCTTCACTAGCCTCATGGCTAAGGTGTTGAGATTTCTGTACATACCAGATGCACTCCGCAGGTCCTAAACGAAAATAAATAAAATATCAGCTGAAGCAGTCCACTCCAATCTCGCATGAACATAGACAAGCATGGATGTGAATATACTAAAACTCTTATTAGTCACCTCAGCTGAAGCAGAACAATTTTCTTGGCAAGTAACTGGGGAAACAAATATGATCCTTCAGTGCTTAGTATACATACCTTTCGTGAAGGTGCGAGCTTAGGAGGATCCAGAATAACAATATCCCACGATTCATTCCTGGCAATAGCGCCCTTCATAAACTGAGCTGCATCTTCTTTCAAGAACGATATTGTTTCTGGATCAAGGTTGTTGAGGACCACATTTTGGCTGGCCAGTTCCAGAGCAGGCAGCGAAGTGTCAACACCTAGAAAATTATGCAGAGGTTTCAGGGTGTGCACTACTCTACATGTAAATACGTTGACAGCCGGTTTTACATCAGTCTCAAGTTGGACCCGTTAGCAAAGTTCATGACATTGGTTGGTTAGCAATGAGACAACTGAGAAATAGCAATCCTCATACACCGTGAGCCAAGTAAGAGTGACACCAACTCACCCAACTAAACAGAAGCATTAATAATGGAAGGGGTAAATAGATATCCCTAATCAGTTGCATAGATTATCCTTTGGAAAACAAACCTGTTGTCTGGTAGCATGAGAGAAAGAACAAAGAAAGAAAATTGTTTGAATGCATAAGTACCTGTAACATCTATGGCACCTCCCCTGGCAGCATTGAGAGCAAAACCCCCACTGTAGCAGCAAATATCAGCAACTTTCTGGCCTTGGGAAATTGTTGATATGAAATGTCTGCTCTCGCGTTGATCCGCATAAAATCCAGTCTTTTGTCCCGCCAATGATATTGCGTATGAAATCCCATTTTCGACGACCTGAGAGAGTATGGCATGCATCATGGAAATATCGTTACAGTAAAAAACCAAGCAAATAGAAGGGCACTGGCATGGAAGAGAGACATGATAAGCAGAGAGTGGGCATGAAGGAGAGAGCAGTGCCTCACTATAACAAGAATGTCTCTCTCTCTCTTTCTCTCTCTCCTCCTGCCAGCCATTATGAGAGTGAGGGAGAATAAGAGATTACATGCGCAGAGTGTAACCTCAGGGGCTTGTTTGTAATGCACAGCAGCATAGAGTTATCAAATCTACCTGTGTTGTTTCAGGACAAGAGGAAGGTTGAATGTCTGGTTTGATAGTGGCAACATCCAGACCTTCTTTCTTTAGGATTTCAAGGGATGGTCTCCAGTTGATATGATTAACTCCGTCGATTGAACTGATGTATGCCTCCACCTCCTGTCTGTACTTCTCAACCCAAGCAGCAGAAGATGCCACCACAGCCAAATCCCCAAAGATATCGACTATTAATCCTGACAATCTTAAACGCAGACAAGTGCATTAGACACAATCACACAACCTTGTTCTCAATTGCTTTCATATTCGTTAGCTAGCAGTAGTTGAGAAATAACGACGATGCATCAATGTGCCAAACCTGTCTCCTTCGCCATTAACGAGTCTGTACGCATTGGTGAGGCGGGAAGGAAGCCCAAGCCTCTTACGTAGCTCTACAGCTTCAGCAATCCTGGACTGAAGCAGCTTCTCCATGTTGAGAGCACAACAAGGATCACTGCACTGCGCATAATTCAGGACGAAGCACATTGTTCACTAGTCGCTAGTATTCAATTACCTATCACGAAAGACAGGGAAAATGAGAGGATAGAGGGAATAGGGGGAAAACCTAATTGCTTCGTGTTCAAGCTGCATAAGCCGGACAGCGTACATGGAGGCGGAATTGTAAAGTCCCCAGGCAATCGGCTTTTCGGTGGCGTCAGAGACAAGGACGGCGTCGCCGGTTGTGGGAGGTGGGCGGCCAATTATCCTGTCCACGGCTCCACTGAACACCATTGGCGTACCTTCCTTGAACAGCTGGGTCTTCCCTTTCTTCAGCACCACATTCGCAAAACCTACTAGTTTCGAGTTCGGGGAGAGAGAGAAGAGCGAGAAATTCCAGATTGGAGCATTAGAAAGCATAAAGCAAAGAGGGGATTCGACAGCAAAGCTATGGAGTGCGGCGAGGCTAAGCTGTAGAGATTGAGACCTTTAGGATGAGAGGCGGCAATGTCCTGAAGGGTGGCCGCGGCTGTGGCTGTGGCTGTGGCCGTGGCCGTGGCCATTGCCGTTTTAGTGACGGCGACAGACGAGATGGAGGAGAAGGGCGAAGGGTACATGGTGAGGCGCACCGGAAGCTGGCCGACGACCATCGCGACCGTCGTCTTCATCTCCCACTGCGTGCTTCTGCTTTGGTAATGGATGAGTTGCCCTCTCGGCTCCGACTCTGGTTTCTATTATGATTTCATTTCCCGGTAGCTATTTATTTGTGGGTTTCTGTTACGGGTAAAATACCCCGATACCACTTAACTATATGAGTATACGAGAGTTGGAGGAGGTATACCACTTAAGTAAGAATAGGGCGTCGGATATTATTAATGTTATTAAATTGTGCATCTGTTTAAAATTCCGTCCATCTACAGTTAACAATAAATAAAATATTATTATTTCTTAAAAAATTTAAAAATAATTGAAAAACAAAAAATGGAAAATTTTGTGGCTTTCGTCTCCAAACCCTCACCGTCGCCCACTGCGAGCACTGCCTCTGCAACTTGACGATCCAAAACTCTAAAACTTCTTCACGATCCTTCATCGGCAGATTGATACAGACTGAGATGAGATGGCCTCAATGCTCCTCCTTCGTCGGCGGTTGTATTGCGTCTTTCCCGATGAGGATAGCTGTGGAAATTAGGGTTAGCGTTGGGTTGTCCGTGGGTACTGAGCATTTGGAATCCTGGAGGCAATTCAGACAGTTCGGAGAAGGATGTTCCGAGGTTGTCGGGTCCTCCTTATTGGGTGGACCAGATTATTGTTAAAGGAGGCGGTTTGGAAAACATGGAGTCCGCCGCCAAGGTTGATTGCTCCGGAGGCGAAACCTCCATCTACAGACGACCATGATGATGGGATCGAGGAAAGAAGCTTGAAGGAGGTGAATGGGGAGAGGTCTCGATGCCTTCTCCATTGCGGCTGCTGCTGAAAATGATGAGAGCAGAGATTGAAATTGAAGGGATAAATAGGTGAGAAATTCTTGCTTAGTTTGATTTGAACACTAAATTAATGAATTGAGATGAGATGGATACAGTATGACGGAGGAGCAGTGGAGCTTTAGAGTCGGGTGATTGGATCATGAAGTTGCAGGGCCAGTGCGCTGGTGGGCGGCGGTGAGGTTTGGAAACGGAGGCCGACATAACTTTTAAATTTTTCGTTTTTTATATTATTTTTAAATTTTGTTGACACAAAATAATATTTTATTCATTATTAACGGCAGATGGACGAAATTTTAGACGGATGCACAATTCAAGAACATTAGTGGTACCCGACGCCCTATTCTTATTTAAGTGGTACATCTTCCTAATTCTCATAATTAAGTGGTATCTGAGGTATTTTACCCCTGTTACGGGTACCGTGGCTGGGATGACAATCAAACATGCCCGTGGGTATCCAGATTCTCGACTCAATTATCTCGCGGAATTCCTATTTTAATTGGGTATAGGATAGGTATGAGTAAAATCCGTAAAAGCCTAAAATGTTTGGTGGGTATGATTTTAGCCTTTCTCATCATACTCGTACTTATATTAATACAATCATACCCGATCTACCAAGAGAATTTCTTCACATATATAAAATAATATGGGGATCAAATTGTAACCTATCAATGATAATGAAGATAACTCGAGCAAATAAATAGTAAAAATGAAATTAAATGGCCACCCTAATCAAAACCTAATTAATTTTTCTCAATTCTCCTTTTACTTTTTCACTTTCTCACTTGTCAACAAGATTAAGTTAGTCAATTATTAGTTAGTAGATGTATAAGAGTTAGAGCATAGTAATTTGAAAAATATTGTACTCTCTATTATGTATTAATGGATATTTTTGGATTATTTTCTTTGAAGTTGAACTGTATTACGAAAATGACCGTGTTTGTTGACTTCATGATATAGTAGGTTCGTTTGGTGTTATAATTAAAAAATTACTTGTAAAGTTTTAGGTATAATAATGTTGGATGTTCGGAGTGGGTATTACCCATGTGTACCCGAAACCCACGGATATGGAGATGAGTTTGCAAAACATTCCCCCATGGATATGAGGTGTGTATGGTTTTGGGTGTTTGAAAAACAGGGATGATGATGGTTTAGGCAAACTCGTCTCATGACATCCCTACCGGTGGCTGGGGGTCGGGTCGGTTCACGGGTGGCTATTCGATGGCTACTAGATACTCTACCGGTTCATTTATTTAACATTTCCCTCGAGAACTATCCAGAACCGCCACATTAACTTCGATTACAATTGAACCCGAACACACGGGTACCCAATTCGACTCAATCCATTCGAATAAGTAAAATCACATGTTGACGGATTTTGAGCTTTGAAATTGGTGGGTTGGTTCACTTAAAAAATAAAGATTGGGTTGGGTTTGAATTTTGTCAAAACCCAACTCGCTTTCCAGCATACCTACACTCATAAAGTAAAACGAAGTCATTTTGTATCTAATCAAAATAATATGAATAAGGATGTGTCTATGGTGACATGCATGTCACCGTAACTTGCTTTTTCGGTCGACCTCAGTTAGGATTAGGTCGACCTAATATGTTGTTTTAGTGTAAAAACAGTTTCATGGTGCCTACTTTGGATATTCATATATCACAATTGGCTCGATGAAAATTGGAGATTAATGGCTTTTTTGAAGATGGAGTGTCCCTCTATACATTGGAGTGCTTGGGAGCTCGATAGGAAGTACAGAAGACCATTTTTGAACCTGATCAAAAGGCTATGCCAAAACTGGGAAACTGCTTGAAAATTGCCAAGTCTGGGAAAGTGTTTGTGAAGCCTACTTTGAAGTTCAATTCGAGAAGCATAGATGAGATTCGAGTCCAGGGGCCTCTACCACATGAAAGTAGGTATGTTTGTCTACAAAGTCAAAGCATTAGATGAAATATTGCATATCTGGAAGGCTTAAAAAAAAGGCTTGAAGTTGCTACGAAGTAAGCTGCCTTCTAGCACAAGACTGAAACGGCAGATTAGGTCGACCTAATTTTACATGAGGTCGACCTAAAAGTGCAAGTTACGGTGACATGCATGTAACCGTAGCAAAGTCCTATGAATAATTATGATTGTTATTAGTTTTTATGTCAATATAAATGTAACAATATTGATAATTTATGGATGTTAACAGTGTTTATGAAAATTTATTTATAGAAAAATTTAAAAAGAGATGGATGCTCGAAGAAATAATGTATGATTATGTTCTCGAACTCATAAGTACCATGCACTTGTTGGTTGGGTTATCATTTTTAAAAACCCAATGATTATTTTACTGGTTTTTTAATGGGTGCACTAGTTGTGTTAGGTTTGGATTTAGGGGTCGTTTGGATGGGTTTTTTGGATGAGTCAATTGGGTCCAATTGGCTCAAAATGTGACAATTGGATCACATTGGCTCATTTGGCAGATGAAAAACAAAATGGGCGATTTTGGTTGTTTGATTCATGGGAAGATTTGGTTGTTTTATTGGTTAAATATTTGTGGTGATGATGATGAAATATTTGAATCTTTGTTTGTTTTCAGGAAAGAAAAATCGATCTTTGTTGGTCTGGAATTTTTGGTCTTCTTGTTGCAAAGAGATGAAACAAAGATGGAGAAGAAGGGTAAAATCGAGGACAATAATGTCTTTTCTGCAATTGACTCATTCTAAATGTCTCATTTCATAGTACAAGCCAAACAAGATAATTTGAGACAAATTGCTTACAGAATTGTCCCATTTTTTAAAATGAAACATTTACCCCAAATTGTCTCATTTTACAAATGTTTCATCCAAAAAATCCGGCCAGTTGATCCGTTTCCATCCATACATGCCATACATTATTTCTTGAGTTAAAATTATAAAATGGCCAAATTATACGTTTGGTCACTTAAATTATACAAATTTTTCACGTTTGCCACTCGAGTTACTTTTCTTTCTTATTAGCCACTAACTTTACAAATCGTTTCATCGTCAGTCACCAGCCGTTCAGGGATGGCAATTTTGCCCATACCCATGGGTATTTTACTATCCAACCCAATTGGGTTGGGTATGGATTCCAAATAAATGGTAGATGGGTAGAGTTAGATGGATTTGTACCCATACCCATTTACTTGGGTTGGGTTGGGTTTTTAACCCATGGATTTGGGTTTATATCCATGCCCAAAGGCAAATTATAGTTTGGTACCTAAACTTAATAGATATGCATATTTAGTACCTAAATTTAATTTTTTTTTGCATATAAGTCCTCAAAATATAGATGGAAAATTACATTTTAGTACCTAAAATTTTTTGGTCTTACATTTTGGTATATAAACTTTTCGAGTTTTACAAATAGGTCCAATTTTTGTGTCTGTAGTTAAAACACCTTCAAGTAAATGGATATCCATATCCAACCCATACCCATTTACATAATGAAAACAATATCCATACCTAACCCAAACCCATCTACAAACCACCAAACCCATATACACTTCATCCAAACCCTACCCATACTAAATGGATCTATTTGGATTTGGGTAAAATTACCCATGGGTGGGTAATTGCCATCCCTACAGCCGTTACATTCCATTAACTTTACTTTTCTTTCTTATTAGCTACTAGCTTCTCAATGGGTCTACGAATTGAGAGCACTGGTTTTTCGATGCGCCGCCTCCTTGTCTTACGGGTTCGAGAACCCTTGGTCCGGCTTCACCGTCTTCGTTCGTTCCTTGGATCTGGATCTAAATCTGCCTGTTTTTCGGTTACTCATGAGGAGATGAAGACCCACGACCGGATCTTAAGTTGAAAAGAGTAACGACGAATTTCAACAGATTGTGACTGGCGATGAGATTTGGAGATGGAGAACGATGGTCGGAGGAAGGCGGCAGCTCTCCATTTGACCGACGACTGCAAATTTTCAAGACGATCGAAGACAAGCGTAGGAGATTGTGATGTGCCGATTATTTTTTTAATTTATTAATTTTTAATAAATAATTAATATGATAAATCATATAGACAAAGTAAGTGGAAAGATGAGATGGAAATATAAAAATTTTTTATTTTTTTTAATTTCCACCTCATCTACTTAACAGTCAAACTTTATAGTTGACTGCCACGTAGGACAAATTTAACGGAGTGTAACGGTCGGTGACTAATGGTGAAACGATTTATAAAGTTAGTGACGAATAAGAAAGAAAAGTAATTTGAGTGGCAAACATGAAATATTTGTATAATTTAAGTGGCCAAACTTGTAATTTAGCCTTATTCCTAAACCCAGTGGTATTTGGCCTGCATTTGCCGTCCATCTTTTACCCTGTCTGGCCCGTAGAGTCGCTCGGCCCACAAATTGAGCTCTACCTGTCCACTTATCCTGAAAACCTGATTCTAAATCTCTGTCAGTCTGTCGAGCTGCTTCAAATCAAGCCTTCAACATCGACTCTCCCCTTTCCACATCCGATTTCAGTCCTCCTTGCGGCGGGGAGAGCAGAAGAATGTGCACAGCTTCGGGTTATGCCGGATCCAGAGCTGGTCGTGCTCTAGTTCGACGGACGGTGCTCGCCACGAAAGCATCCCGTACACACTGCAGCTTCCGTGAAACGTCCGCCGTCTTCATCCGCTCCGCCGGCGACTCGAGTGAGCAAGCTATACCGATTTCCACCACCGAAACCAAACAACTCCTGTACTGACTCGACCTCATCAACCTCTCCTCTGTCAATTCCCTGTCTCGCTGCCGCAATGCGACTGCTTCAGTGATCTCATCGTCGCCACCGCCGCCGCCGCCGCATTCTCCCTCCGCCGCCTCAATTCTGTCGCCATCGAGGAAAAGCACCGGATCCAATACCGCAGATATCATGTCTGGAAGCCCCGCCCTCGCAAATTCTTGGAGATTCCGGCCGTCTCTGAACATTTGGTCGGTCGGTCTTTTCCCGGAGAACAATTCCAGCAGGAGGATCCCGAAGCTGTACACATCGCCTTCTTTCGACGCAGCACCGCCCATTCCGTACTCTGCCATGATTCAAGCACTCGCAGTAAGCATCACTTCACGAATTTAGGAAAGTAATGGAAATGATGTCTAGGGTTTGTGTTATAACCTGGAGGAGTATAACCAATTGTTCCTTTGATGCCAATTGTGCTAGATGAAGCGGTGTCCTCTTCCCCCGAAAGGATCCTTGCAATGCCGAAATCACTTAGATGAGCAACCATGTCGTCGTCAAGAAGAACATTACTGGGCTTCAGATCACAATGAACAATTGGGGTTTCGCAGAGGTCGTGAAGATAGTGTAGCGCGGATGCCACATCGATCGCTATGTTGAGTCGTTGAACCAGGTTCAAACTCCGCGAACTATCCATGTCGTGCAACCACTTCTC